TTACTCTGCTGTGGACAGCTGCACAGGTTCCTTCTTAAGAAACCCACAGTGGAATTGGCTTTCTTAAGTATTTTCCCAATATTGATGCCCCACTTAAGGTCACTGGAGATGGTAATGCCGAGGTTGTGGGTAGAGTCAAACTGCTGTAGAATGGCGTTGTTGAGGCTTTAGAAGTGGAGACTACGGTTCCGCGCACTCGGGAAATGGCATTTGTGTGCGTTGAACTTCATGCCCATTTATTGACCCATTTCTCTAGTTCGTGGATGTCTTGGTGCGAGATGATGTTGTGAATCACGCGGTATAGCAGACGGTCGTCTGCAAACAGTCTGACCTGGGACCGACCGCAATCTGGCAAGTCGTTAATATGGCAAAGGAAGAGTATGGGTCCAAGAACGGTTTCTTATAGCACACCGGATTCCATCGGTACTTCTGCCCTTTCCCCTTTAAACACGACTCGCATGGATCTCGAAGTCAGGAGCTGTGTCAGCCATTCGTGTATGTACCCTGTAATGCCATAGACGCGAAGCTTTATGAGCAGTTTGAAGTGAAGCACAGCGTCGAATGCATTGGAGAAATAAAGTACTATACAGTCCACTTGCTGGTTTGTGTCGTGTGACTTGAGGAGGTCGTCCCAGGTTGCTACGAGTTGGGATTCGAAAGTATCCACTTCTGAAGCCATAGTTGAGGCCTTTGAGAATTTAGTTCCTCTTAAGGTGATCCATGAGGTGTTGGCAAATGATATGCTCTAAAAGCTTGCAGGACAAACAAATGATTGAGATCGGTCTGTAGTTCTCTGCTAAGTGTCTGTTTCCTTTCTTGAACATACTGGAGATGTTTGCAGCAACCAGTCCTATGGTAGGGTGCCGGTGCTTAGAGAGTGTTGAAACATGATGCTGAGGCGTGGAGCAATGTTGTACGCACGGGTTTTCAAGACTGTGTCTAGGATTGCATCCAGACCTCTGCAGTTTGTTTACACCCAGGCTGTTGATCTAGATGTCCTTCAGTGGATGACTGATGTCTATATCTGGAAGATGAAGGTAGTCGCAATCCCCTGGTATAGTTTTGGTAAATACTGAGCGGTATTGCTGTAGCAGGATGTTGGCTTTTAAGCGAGCCTTTCGTTTTAAGGGCGATACCAGCCCATTCAGCTTTCCAGAAGATTCTCTTACACACACACTGGTGTTGACGATAGTTTCCCCATTTGTTGTGTTTTTTAGCTTGCCTGTATAAGGTTTGTTTACGGTGCAGCATCTTGCGTAGTATTCAGGACGTCTAAGACGCTGTTGGTCTACTGCTTCCCGGCTTAGACGGGATGTTCTTTTCCATAGTGCTGGTAATGCTGTACTTGAATGTTGTCCATAGTTGGTCAATATTTGTGTCTCTGGTGGCCATGTCTATGATTGTTGCTGATATTTTATTACAATCTTGCTTGATGTCGTCCCAGTTTGCTCTGGTGAATCTGAGTATTTTCGTTTTACGCATATTGTTGGTAGGCTTCACATCCATATCTGTCACAATGACGTCATGGTCAGATATGCCATGGATGGATACTGAGGATTTGATGAGCGACGGGTTTGATGACAATACCAGGTCTAGCATACTCTGTTCACGAGTTGAGGAAGCATGGATTTGTGTCAGGTATGGTGAGGCGGTATTTATCAGTGATTGTTGGATGTCGCTGTTTTGTGCGCCTTTGTTCACGGTCAGGTTACGCCAGTCTAGGTTTTAGTGTGTTAGATAATGTAGAAAGGGTGCTTGGAATCATGGAACCGTGTTACTGTCAGAAAAGACTGGTAAGGTATGTACAATCTACACGTTATAAAATATATAACATTTTGTTTAATCAACTTGTCGATAGCGGTTTTTTCTCGTTTTTAACCTGATTCATTAAATTGCTTGTAAATCAGGGTCACTCAAACTTATCATTTCATCTAATTAACGAGATTATTGAAAGTCTGTGTCGCTCACACGTTTAGTTCTCATCAGACTCAATATCATACTGGTTACTCGGAGTCATTTCAATGTGATTCACTCAATTGCTGGATAATCCGTGCCATCGTTTCAATTTCATTTGATTCACTATAATGTTCTTAAACTAGGGCCATTCAAACGTCTACACATTACACCCCACCTTCCTTTATACCATAAGATGGGCCGCTGCTTTACAGGAAAAAAACAGCGCTAAAAATATGTGGATGTTCTAAACTGACCATCAAGACTGTTAGAATAGCAAGAAGAAACAACGGACAGATGACCCTGGGCAACGTAGTTATACCATATGTCAAAGGAATGCATGTTAGTACTCGGAAACCAAAGATCGGATATCCAAGAAATATCGTCTGCATGAGACCACTTCAGACGATCAGGAACATTCTTGTACACACAGGCACATTTTTTTCATTGGTGATACATTTCATATCGTTTACAAAATTTAATTATGAACTGTGACGGCGGAACAGGTGGGAAGTTTTGAAAACCCTTGAAGAAGCGTGGTATGTTAGTTACAACTTTAATGAGTTTAATTAGATCAGAGAGAAACTGGACCATAACGAACCATGCAAGCAAAGAAAAAATCATGTTATAGACTGGGGTTGAGCTAAGATTTAGGACATATAGAGAGCTCCAAAAAAGTGCGCCAAGCGCAGGAGGATATTCACTGCTCTGGTGAACGAGGGGAAGTAACTCCCACGTCATTAACGTCAGCAGAATATCGGCGAAACTGTTCGGGTATGCTCAACACATCGTCTTTCACAATGCGTAGTTTCATAAATTCATAAGGTAGAAGTCGTTTGGATTACGTTGCTTGAATATTAATGGGGAAATAAGGAGTCGAAAAAAATTACAGACATTTTTTTACGTACCGGATTTCAACATGAATTCACACGATACTTCATGAATATAATTGTGAGCGATATAGGATTGTTAAATTAAGGCTTGAAATGATATTTTAATGTAAAAACCAAAAACAGCTGCATGCGGATGATGATATAGGAGATGTGTCGACAAGTACAAAATGTAAGTCGAAAGCATGTTTTTAAACAAGGTTTGCACGAAAAAGAATATGTACGATACCCTGACAAACTCTTGCATCGAAAATCGGTTATCGAGTGTCATTTAAAATCCACACTTTGTTAAAAGAACAACACGGATATCTAATCAACGGGTTCATTACAGTATATCTTAATATGGTCTGTTGCAGTATAAAAGAGGTATAGCGGGGAAACTTAAACCCGAGTAGGCCGCCGATAATCTGATTTTAAATTTATACGGTATTAAAACGTCACGTGAGACCCAACACTATATTTGATCACATCAGCCGTGGCAGTGCTCGATTAATTTGACAGATTGAGTCAATCTTGTTCCTATAGACCTCTGATATCACACGAAACTTTATTTATTTAAGATAAACCATATATAATGTGAAAGAGCAGGGAAAACACACATCCCTGTCGAGTGCTTCAACCAGGAATCGAACCCGGGTCTCCGGCGTGATAATCGAAGCATGCTCCATCAGCTGAGTGTCAGAGGCCGTATTTAACACTATATACAAGCCATACCGATCTGCTTGTTTTACCTATGATATAAGATATCTCAATAAATTTTCGGTAAAAGTTATCTTACACAGCATACGATATATCGGATAAAGCTGCTGCTGCTATTTCAAAATAAGATATCATAATATGTAAGATATTTTGTATAATGTTGTAAGATTTAAGATACAGTATCTTATATATTCAGATAAGATATCTTAACACTTTTTAAAGACATATTACTCAACAGAAATAAAATATGGACTGATTATTGTTCCGTGCATAAATGTTTTACTTCACCGACAGGCCCTAGGTGGTGGTGTTTTTCCACAATCCTGTAGGAGTTACTTCCCTTCCATTACGGTTTCACGGTCATTATGTTAGAGTAGTGTCTAGTTCGTACATATTTTGTGGTATATTGAAATGCCGTTAAAGTTCTTCATTTTATCTCATGTATGGACAAATCCGATAAATATCAAGGAACAAACGACATCAATAAAAGATGAAAGGTTTGTTATTTGAAGGGAATAAATGTTTTGTCTTGCAATACTTGTATGTTGGCGTGTATGTAAATATTCTAGATATTTACCATCATGCGACTATTATTTAATGGCTTCCCAAGTTACGTAGCTTAATTGGACAACAACCTGTCCTCAATTGTCCACTTTTCATTGTTTCAAATTTCCCTTCCTTTTTATAAAGATAAGTAGTTTAGTTTTGTCAGTGTTAACAAACAGATTACACTATCAACTAATTCTTAAGCGTATGTTAACATATGTCCCTCTCTTTTTTGTAAATATATCTGATAACAAAAACACTATTATCAGCCTGAGAGCTCCGTGTCAACGTCACGCGTACATCCATGAAGATGTACGTGGAGATTTGATAAAATTAAAAAAAAAACTTGACTAAAAGTCTGAACTAGAGCACTTCCCGCTTGAGGGCCGTTAGATTACCGTGCAGTAGCAAGATAGTTTCTGTACTCAGCTCTGCTAGAACCCTTATCAAGTATACAGGTAGGTATAACAAACAGACGAATAAAAACCCGCACAAAACTTTACCTAAAACAGGAAAACTAATGTTTCATAATGTTTGTTCTTTAAATATCAAACTGAAAATAAAATTGAAAAACAAATCTGGCTTGCAGACTGTCTTTTCGTAAATTTTATTTACAAAAAGAAAATGCATGATGATGTGTGCTGCCCAGAAATTATTTTTTGAAAAATGAGGGAATCTGTCTCTGAGCGTCGAACTCCATGTCTTTCCAGTTGCGACACTCATCATCTGAATGAACATACTTAGAAATAAGAGACAAAAAGGCACGTGAAAATACTGTCGAAAATGAATTTGCGATTTCATCACAGAAATATTTTTTTTCTTTATTTCCAGTTTTACCAAAAGTAATAGCCGCTCCCTACGAAACCGGATGTAGTATTGATTTGTTATGGAGGGTCGAGACGAGAGAACTGTCATGGTCGCCAACACAGAAAATATATTCATATTATGCTTCATGTCGACTTGACAACAGGCCAGCGACAGCATGGAACAGGACGACCTCGGACTCTTTGTATCAAAGGTGATGTTTAGTGTGGTAGATTTAATGCTTATTATTGGAATTTGAGGGTCAATCAGGTGAATTTATTATGCAAATTTTCGAGGTCCCCCTATACCGACCCAGCGTAAGTGTTACTGTAATACACCGAGCAAATTTAGTAATGATTTGATAATGGCATGAAATTATCGATAAATTGTTGGTTTAAAGGATATTCATTTTGCTTGAGGTGTGTCATATTCGAAATCTCCCCCAGTTAAGAGATTAGAGCCAGTCTAGTTCCGCTACACACTATTAGCTGATGTCGACGAGTCGTACTAATTGCATACCTGTCTGCCCATGCAACGACCCGATATTAGATTGTTACCTATGTCTGGTCGTTACGTAATGGACAACAGTATCCGCATCATTCTATTTGCATGTTTTAGTTTTTAGTTAAAAATAATGTTTGAATATATAAAAAAAATGAAAAGGTTAAGCTATATAATGTACTGAGGAGGTATTTGATATTTTAGGTTTTGTGCCTAAAGTTTTAAATAATCAGGAAGCAAAATAGTATGCTGGCATATAAGGCAACTAAGTGAGTTCCAGTTAATGACCTTGACCCAATTTCCAGGTCACTGAGGTCGAAAGGTTAAAATCTTTCTCAAAACAGAGAAGTGTAGCTGTCATGAAGCATGCTGTCATGAAAAGCCTGAAATTGGTAAAATTTTGTGACTTCGCCTACATATGGACATTCTAGGTCATGGTTATTATTTAATCAAATATGTTAAAAATCTTAAAACATCTTATATTCAATAAACAAGAGGTCCAGAATCATGCTGGATGAAGGGATATGAAGTTCTTTCAATGTTGTCAGAAGTCAGGGTCAGATGTGTTTTAATCTTATAAACAACTTATTCCCAATATATGAAACAAGAGGCTGAAGGTCAAGGGTTCCAAGTTTCTTCAAATGAACATTCTTCATTCTTTTTTTGGGTGTCAAATCTGTGAACAACTTCTTGATAATCAAGAGGCCAATGGTCATGATATTTGACTTGTAGAATAGAATAGTGGATGAAAAGCATCCCAGTCTGTTCAGATGAATGGCATTGACCCACGTTTAACATTATATGGTCAAATTGATAAGATTTTTCAATGACTTCTAGAAAACAAAGAAACCAAAAGTTTTGTTATTTCAACTGAAAAAGAATATATTGTAAAGAATGGATGTGATGGATGAATATGAAAGTTACCAGAATCAATTCTTTCAATGATGTCTTTTTTGTTTAATCTGCAGAACAGGTGAACAGTACAGGTCTATTGCACCTCATTTTGACTATGGCAGCCATGTAATCTGCCCAAGTAAAATAGTATCAACCTGTGGACATGATTACATTTCAATATGTACTCTGAAAAATATAACATTTGATCTCATTTCAGATTATTGAAGCTGAGATCTTGTTCAAGCGTCTGAAGCACACACACACACACACACACACACACACACACACACACACACACACACACACACACACACACACACACACACACACACACACACACACACACACACACACACACACACACACACACACACACACACACACACACACACACACACACACACACACACACACACACACACACACACACACACACACACACACACACACACACACACACACACACACACACACACACACACACACACACACACACACACACACACACACACACACACACACACACACACACACACACACACACACACACACACACACACACACACACACACACACACACACACACACACACACACACACACACACACACCACACACACACACACACACACACACACACACACACACACACACACACACACACACACACACACACACACACACACACACACACACACACACACACACACACACACACACACACACACACACACACACACACACACACACACACACACACACACACACACACACACACACACACACACACACACACACACACACACACACACACACACACACACACACACACACACACACACACACACACACACACACACACACACACACACACACACACACACACACACACACACACACACACACACACACACACACACACACACACACACACACACACACACACACACACACACACACACACACACACACACACACACACACACACACACACACACACACACACACACACACACACACACACACACACACACACACACACACACACACACACACACACACACACACACACACACACACACACACACACACACACACACACACACACACACACACACACACACACACACACACACACACACACACACACACACACACACACACACACACACACACACACACACACACACACACACACACACACACACACACACACACACACACACACACACACACACACACACACACACACACACACACACACACACACACACACACACACACACACACACACACACACACACACACACACACACACACACACACACACACACACACACACACACACACACACACACACACACACACACACACACACACACACACACACACACACACACACACACACACACACACACACACACACACACACACACACACACACACACACACACACACACACACACACACACACACACACACACACACACACACACACACACACACACACACACACACACACACACACACACACACACACACACACACACACACACACACACACACACACACACACACACACACACACACACACACACACACACACACACACACACACACACACACACACACACACACACACACACACACACACACACACACACACACACACACACAACACACACACACACACACACACACACACACACACACACACACACACACACACACACACACACACACACACACACACACACACACACACACACACACACACACACACACACACACACACACACACACACACACACACACACACACACACACACACACACACACACACACACACACACACACACACACACACACACACACACACACACACACACACACACACACACACACACACACACACACACACACACACACACACACACACACACACACACACACACACACACACACACACACACACACACACACACACACACACACACACACACACACACACACACACACACACACACACACACACACACACACACACACACACACACACACACACACACACACACACACACACACACACACACACACACACACACACACACACACACACACACACACACACACACACACACACACACACACACACACACACACACACACACACACACACACACACACACACACACACACACACACACACACACACACACACACACACACACACACACACACACACACACACACACACACACACACACACACACACACACACACACACACACACACACACACACAACACACACACACACACACACACACACACACACACACACACACACACACACACACACACACACACACACACACACACACACACACACACACACACACACACACACACACACACACACACACACACACACACACACACACACACACACACACACACACACACACACACACACACACACACACACACACACACACACACACACACACACACACACACACACACACACACACACACACACACACACACACACACACACACACACACACACACACACACACACACACACACACACACACACACACACACACACACACACACACACACACACACACACACACACACACACACACACACACACACACACACACACACACACACACACACACACACACACACACACACACACACACACACACACACACACACACACACACACACACACACACACACACACACACACACACACACACACACACACACACACACACACACACACACACACACACACACACACACACACACACACACACACACACACACACACACACACACACACACACACACACACACACACACACACACACACACACACACACACACACACACACACACACACACACACACACACACACACACACACACACACACACACACACACACACACACACACACACACACACACACACACACACACACACACACACACACACACACACACACACACACACACACACACACACACACACACACACACACACACACACACACACACACACACACACACACACACACACACACACACACACACACACACACACACACACACACACACACACACACACACACACACACACACACACACACACACACACACACACACACACACACACACACACACACACACACACACACACACACACACACACACACACACACACACACACACACACACACACACACACACACACACACACACACACACACACACACACACACACACACACACACACACACACACACACACACACACACACACACACACACACACACACACACACACACACACACACACACACACACACACACACACACACACACACACACACACACACACACACACACACACACACACACACACACACACACACACACACACACACACACACACACACACACACACACACACACACACACACACACACACACACACACACACACACACACACACACACACACACACACACACACACACACACACACACACACACACACACACACACACACACACACACACACACACACACACACACACACACACACACACACACACACACACACACACACACACACACACACACACACACACACACACACACACACACACACACACACACACACACACACACACACACACACACACACACACACACACACACACACACACACACACACACGATACAACAGGATCAGGCCCTTGGGGTGATCAGTTCATTGTGTAAGTCATGTGAGCAGATAGTGGGAGGTTCCCATCATAGCTGGTCAACTTTCACCCCACAGACCAGCAAAATTCTTGACAAATATTACAGCCCAGAACAGGTCGTCCAGGACATTCTTTATGAGCTTGTCAACCGGTCGGTGAAAGTAGCAGAAGATAAATTGACAATTTGGCCTTCTCAACGACTGAGAGATCGTCGACGATCACATGTGAAGGTTGAAGGAAGTTGTGGAAGTGAAGATGAAGATCAAGAAATCAATGGAGACATTTCAGACGTTGACATTGATACTGACTCCTACAGAGAAATCTCTTCAAGAAACAGGAAGCAACAACATCCAAGAAAGACAACTCTAAATTCACATGTCAAAGGAAATGTTTATACAGGTAAAAAGAGAGGAAGAAAACCGAAACATCTTAAACTTGAACATAAAGAGACTGAAATAATTCCAGAACCAAAAGTTGAACCAGTTGTTATTAAACGTGCTCGAGGACGTCCACCAAAGCGGAAAATATTTACATGTGTAACTTGTGGACAATCGTTTACTCATCAGCAGTCACTAGTCGTTCATGCTCTGGAGCATGGAGAACAGGCGAAATCATGTGAAATGTGTCATGAGGAATTTTTATCTCAAGAAAGTATTGCTCTTCATCGATGTAAGAACAGAAAAAAGTCCCATGTAGGTTTAAGGCTATGTCGAGTTTGTGGTGATGAATTTCAAACTGCCAGACTTCTGAGTGATCATATGTGTAGTGAACATGGCATACAGAAGTCACGATACTTTTGTGAGTATTGTTCTGCAGGGTTCATCAAGAAACAGTCGGTCTACAAACATTATAAAAAACATGCTGAAGGAAAAATTGTCTGCATGAAGTGTGGACATTTCTCAGTGGACTTAGCAGCCCATAACGAACATTCTAGTACCCATAAGAAGACTGGCGCTTATTCTTGTGACAAATGTAGTGCTACATTTGCAAAGTCTCAACATTTTGATCGTCATTCCGCAAATGAACATTCCTGTCCTTTATGTAGTTTGCGTTACTGTACACGCCGCGAACTTTGTCGCCATCTGAAGGAAAAGCATGGCATCATCCGAAGTAATGACGGCAAAGTATATAAATGTGACGTATGCTGCAAGGCATTTGATCGACCGTATACTCTGGATGTGCATAAGAGAATCCATACAGGTATGGAAACAGACATGATTATATATATCTATATAAGGCTAAATAGCTAATCACATGCTTTTACATTTGTTAATTTGGGTTTGTAGTTCAGATCCATTTCTGGAAAATATTTCATATATTAACTATCATTTTTTCTATCAAAAGAATGGTAATACTTATGTCATTAGCAAAGTTTGAACTTGCACTGCCACTCAACACTGTTTCATACATTAATCTGTGCTTTGATAGATGGTTTTATTTAGAATAAGAGATACAGTTGAAAAGAATGACCATCAATCTAAGACTTGTTTCTTTATCATTCTTCATTCAAGGTCACAAGGGTCAAATTTTTAATACACTTTTTTTACTTAGAATCAACAGAGAGGTCAAAGTACTCTGATGTATTCTGACAGAATTATAGGAAAGGTATCAGGATTTATCAAGAAATCATAAAAATTATTACTTGTAGCTATAAGCTTACAGTGTAAATTACAGAATTTGAAAATGGTATGAAATGTCAACTTTGATTTGCTAGTTTTTGATGTTGGTTTACATTTGATTTAGAATATCTTTGAAGGTCAGTGATATGAGATCTAGAAGTAATATAAATGCATTGGTAAAAAGCATCGAAAAAAGCATTTTAAAACAGATGAGTGATGCAAGCATGTTCAATCAAATTTTAAAGTGAATATATGCTTGATTTTCTGTTAGGATTTTCATTCCAGTAGTGTGAGTGCGATAAATAATAGATGTATCACACTTTGTGGCGCGTGGTTTGTTTATATTGGTGGTGTCTTTACAGGAGAACGGCCTGTTGAATGTACAGCTTGTAAATTATTTTTCCGGACTGGAAAGGCACTGTTTAAACATAAACAAACTTACACACATTCCATCAAAGCTGGAGAGGAGGTGAAAGAACGCACTTTTCTATGCTCTATCTGTGGAAAGGCTTATTTCAGGTTTGTACAGGAACAACCATCATGTCTGGCACAATTCAAGTTTATAGAAGGTTAACATTATATTTGCCAGATTAAATATTGTGATATTTTAGAGATATTAAGATGGTTTTTCTAAATTCGTATGGTCACTGATGGTGTATTATTACTGACAAACCAACTATTGAGGAGTGGATGTAACTCGGAATGTCTTAATGTGTTGAAATTCATATGATACATGGTACAAATATAGCTAGAGAAAACATGTATTAACATAATGATATAACAGATTAAACTTTTCATCTAATTATCTAGATAACTATAATCTGCTCCAATTTTATTGTGACATATGCATGAAGATTATTACAAAAAAACATAATACAAAACATTGGTCAAAAGATAGAAAATCAGAAATCTTGATCGTGAGTCTGTTCAAGTTCAAGTTCAAGTCTGATCAAGAGATGACTGCCTTTGACTGACTATTTTCTTTCAGTAAATCTAGATGAATAGTTGGGAAAAATTGTGCTTTAATACTTCTGACTTCAATTTTCTTCCAGTTGGCCTTGCAACTGATTTTGAAAAATGTGGGTTATTTACTCCTTGAATATTTCTTCTTGAACATCATTGCCATTCGTCAATAGACTTTATCATCATTACACTAGTACCGCACATACAAGATTTAACCATTTTTTGAAGAGTAATCATTGTTGTATTTCCATGAATTTGATTTTTTATCTGGAAATTTTTTGGTACTAATCTCTTTCAAAACTTTGTAGTTTTGGTGTAATGACATGAAGTTTTTCTTTGTAAGTGCTATGCTGATTAAATCATTTTTGTTTAATTTCATGCTATTTAATATAAAGTGGTTTCACTTTGGCATTGGACATGTGTTTGCTGTTCCATTATATGGTACACTTGTTTTATTTGGACAACTTCATATTCTAACGAATCAAAGAGCTGAGGTACTGATAATGACTAAAAACTTATTTTCTTCTGTATAACAGTTATATTCAGGATTTTTTGTCTTTGCAGAAAACATGCTCTCCAGCGACACATGAGTTATCATACTGGTGAGAAACCACACACATGCCAGTACTGTGGCTACAGCTGCAGAGAACCTAACAATCTCAAACGCCACATGTCACTCCACTTTGAGTCACAGAGGAACTTTGTTTGTGAGATTTGTGGAGCAGCTTTCCATGCCAAGAAAACTTTAGAAATGCACCATGCGTATAAACACAATGAGGATAGAAAATTTACATGTGATCAATGTTTTCTCACATTCAAAGCTAAAAATGCACTTAAACGCCATATGAAGGTACATTCTGTTGAGAAGGAGTACAAGTGTTGGTGTGGCACAGCATTTAAACGCATGTACAACCTGCGCCGTCATCTGAAAGCCGTCCATGGTACTGACGATCTCCTGCCACCAGTACGCAGAGTTAACACTCTTGACAGTGATAAGAAAAATCCTGCATCACGCACAGACTCCCTGCCAATGGACAAGATTTCCACAAGTGGGCGCAAGAAAAGTACAAAAAGAGCCCTTGCCACAAAGTTTGGGACTTCAGATCACGATTATTTTGAGGCAAGAACATCCTCAACATCAGCCGCCAAGCCAGATGATTCTGTGAATAATGATAATGTGGTAACCAACCCAAACCATTCTCATGACTCCGTGCAGTTTAATACTGTGACATCATCAGGCCCAAATATTTCTCAGTCTGTGGTGATAGATAGACCTACAGAATTGATGCCCCAAATTGCTCCCTCACCAACACAGTCACCACGGCAACCTGTTCCCTTGTCTATGCAGCATGCACAGCCTCACCACCCAGGACAACACTATCTCCAACCCCACTCACAAATGTCTTCCCATCCAGGGCAGGGACGAATGAAGTTTGACACACATAGTGGTATCTATAGTAACGGAATGGAGAAACAACAACATCCACAAGGGATTGACACTAACAACATGTACATGCAAAACAGCACTGCCATAGGGGGCAGTACATTCATACCTCAGGCTGTTGCTTACTCTACCATCATGCGTGAATATGGATCTCAATTCCAGTTCATTCCTGACTCATCAAACACACCATATCATAACTTTGTCAAGTAACCATTGACCTCCTACATGTGTCCACATCACTGCAATGATACAACTCTGACAATTATATGTTTTTGTTTTGTATTGCTGTTATTGGTATCAATATAAGAACTGATATCTGTAACCCTTGACCTTTCATCAATGTGTCATGATGGATCCCAAATTACCACTTTTAAAAAAATGTCTATCAATCAGCTTCCGTCCTACCAGCATCCAAACACTGTTCAGCCTTCGGTTTCAACCAGCCAACACTCAGCTGAATAAAATTGACCAATTAGGCTGCTGAAGGTAGTCTGACCAATTTGTGGTCACCAGTCAGCTAGACTGTCTGCGTCATATGGGCAAATTAGTGACCTTTCATCTGATATTAATTAATATTAATTAATTAAGATCAGTGTGGTTATTGGATTGTGAGGTTAGTAGTTCTCTTTTACCAAGGGGAGAAAGTCATCTACTGCTTTGGTTGTTTCAGATAAGTAATTCCCCTAGTACACTGGACAATCTCTGCAAAGAATTCAAACTTCCATGGCTTTATTAAAAGTCAGAAACAAAAAGGACACATTTTTTTCCAAGGAAAATATAAATGGACAAAGATTATATCTAAATATTCTATTTTCAGAGTATTTATTTTTCAACCTTTCTTTCCTTCTGGAAAGTAGTGATTTCATTCTCACACTAATTTCTATCTTACACGACTTTCACACACTTAGCATTTTAAAGCTCACAGTAGTATATTGACAAGTAAGGACAGACTGATCAAAGTAATGGTTTCTTACACAATATTTTATCCTTTGTGCTTTTAATACTAGAAACCATAAAACATGATAGATACAGAAACGCTGACACTGACATTTACACACTAGACAAGTTAAAAAAAGTGCTCCTTTTAACAGATGTACATATCAAGTAATTGTGCAGAGAATTTCTGATAATTGTTACCAGTAATGATTATGTAGCCATTGTAGTGGATATGCAATTCATTGCACTATTTTACTAAAAACTGATTACACGTTGGAATTTTATTACCCCAGAAATATGTTGGAAGCACTGTATTTCTCTGATTTCAATCTATTGCTACAACATATAGGTGTCATTAAGTCTACAATCTCATTGTTCTGCAGATGTACTGAATGCCGTTAAGAATTTAATGTGATATTTTATATATTTTATGGGTTGGATGGAAGAATACATTTAAACTTAAAAGATATTTAAATATATATTAATTTTATTTAATAGAGATATATAGAAATTTCTATAGCAGTTATGAGTTCAAGTTCAAAGGTTTTATTTTTTTAGTGTGAAGTATACATTCATACATATAACAGGGATTTTTCTGCTCATATGAGAAAGAGCTGTTTGATATCATTTTTGGGGTAAAATTGATCAGTTGGGATGGCAATTTTTAGAAGTATATATTTTTGGAACATGGCCGTATTGTGAAATAAATCCAATAGGGAACGGGGCCCATATTCAGTTCCACAGAGCCCTGAATAGATAGTATGTTTGTAGGATATTTCTGTCAAAGTCTTTTGGAGACTGCAGGAGATGTTGGACCTTAATGAGGACCAACACTGGCTTTCACTGAAGGCAGTGATTGATCTACAGTCTACAGATGTTAAGCAGTCTTACTCTGCTCTTAAGCCATTTTCATGAATTTTGATTACAATAAGTTTGATGTGGTTCATTTATTTGGTGTAATTTGACCCTAAATTAAATCATATCAAATTTGTTTTTTGGTTGACTGTAAAACAAAGTGATTGCTTTACTGGGCAAGACTAATCTCTATTTCTCTGAAAGGAATTTACCTCAACTGAAGCTGTCAACAATGTCTACAGAATAAGGGATCAGTAATTATGATTCCACAGTGATGAGTGAGCAGTCTTTTTGATTGTCCAGGCTAAATTAGGCCATTCTAGGACTAATGCCTATATTGTTGCTTCTTGGGTACATGGAACTGGGATGTTACTTTGTCTCCAGATCAGGATTACCCTGTCAACCAGATTAGTACTTATCTGTCTTAGTTTCTACTGGCTTCCCAGTCCATGGTAGTCTGTGACTGCCACTTCCATCTTCCCGGAGAGGAATGACTTTCTGTTTTGGAGGTGACCAGAGAGGACAGGTCAGACAACCTCATTCTCCAGGGAGCTGGTGTTGGGGTTATAATTGGCTGGTACCCTCACTTGCAGTAGTTAGATGCTCCTGAGTATGCACCAATCAGGGAGCTAGGAATTGGCCCCTTCTTCATGTTTTGATGTGGTGTTCAACTGCTACAGGCATCGATGGCCTTCGAGAAAACGTATAAATGGAACAGCAATAAATTACATTGACCTAGTTGTTTAGGTGTTTTTCTATATATAGTAACAACTGTTCTGTCATATCTCGCTGCCTGATTCAACAGTAAGTGGCTATATTTAGTGTCTCAGGTAGTCATTGTTGTCAAACATTCCTCATTGTATTAAATGATTTAAATTCCTGGTAGCTTTGATCAAAGAGGTATCAGGGGTGTCCTGCTAGTAATGCCTGTCGATCAAAGATACAATCTGTATGCAATGTTCACACTACATTCCCTCTCTGCCAAACAGGTTGTTACTGTAATATTACTTTCAATGTATTGTTATTGTAGAAACAATATTACTTCCAATTACATTGATAAAATTCATGCTTGTATCTATATTTACATATAATGTACTTACAACAACCTTCATACAAAATTATTTTGAAGTAAATATAATGAATATGAACAATAGTAATTTCTTAAAATATTAAATGTACATGTTTATCTGTTATGTAATCACTGACTCAGATCCTAGTATATCCAAATCTCAAATACAATAAATTGTATCATTTTTAGTGATCAAGGATTCAGACTGTCACAAGTACATGTACAGTAGTGACTTGATTATTTAAGTGGATTTGAAATACTTTTTTGGGATCAAAATTATGACATCATAAAATTGGAATTAAGTAACAAGTTTTTATGTACATTTATTACCTTTATGATAACTGAAAATTAGCCAATGAACTCCTAGTTTTATAGTCAAGCCGCTGCGTTTCTAAAGTACCTTTTTGTGCGTTATATTTTAGGGCTGAAATGGATGGCAGATTTTATATTTTGAATGTTTGTTGAATTCAAATATATGATATTTGAATATAAGGATGGTATTGTTTTTGAATACTGTATATAGTATTGAAATAGTGTGACTGTATGTGACAGTCTAGATACTTTTGTTTTATATATTAATCATATTGTTGTTAGTTTTGTTGTTAGCATTACTAAATAAAAACAGCTGAAATTATATGTCTCTAGAAATAAGGTATTTGTGTTATGTTTATTTCCTATGTGTGCTGAAAACAAACGTGAAAGCAAAGTCTAGACTTCCTGACTGCATGTACATTTACTAGTCGGTTATCGAAATTTCCACACCAATAATAACAGAAGTTGAAGTGTATTACCAGGTACTATCCCCTTCAAACCTTTGTCAGAGGGGATATAGTAATGTCCCTGTACATATGTTGTACATGTGTACATACATATTAATACTTGTCTTTGTCAGCTCTCCAGCTACTTCATTCCGCGAGGGATTTTGATCAAACCTCGCACACTTATAAAGTCGAATGTCTGGGTCAAAGGGTCAAGATCTTAAATATTACACATGTACAAACGACTAGAATACCAGGGCAAAGTTTGAGGGTCTGTGTTGTAGGGTTAAGGTCAAGGTCACTTATTCCTAGAGAATCAAGTGTCATTGGTCTAGCAGCTTCACTTCATTAGGATTTTGATCAAATTTTACAGTCAAGGCCACCATTACTCTGAAAGTCTTTATCAGCACTTTAGTGACATCATTCCTGGAGGAATTAGATTAAAACTTTGCATTCATATAAATATGACCATAACATCACAGGCCAGTTTTAGGAACTGGATGGTATCACACAGGTAGTGCAAGCTGTCCCAGTCAGCCATGTGTTGCTATGATGAAGATCGAGGTGAGCGGCTGATGAAGAACTCAAAATTCGAAAAGACAAAGACGCCATCAATATATCTGAAAGTTAGTTTGAAGACTTTCTCATGGTCTTCGTGACATGTCTTAGTAAGCTCTATGGCAAATTCAACGCGTAAGAAAACAAAAATAATTCAGACACGAGGGGCACGGTTAGTCCCTATTGCTATGCCAACAGTCTGTAATAAGAGTATAACTTTGTCGGTAGAGAATTCAATATTTCCCAAAATACTCTCCGTTATAATTGACATATATATATATACTTGTTCACCTGTTTTAGTGGTGAGGGATGAAACCCACGTACCCGTAGAAAACCCACATAATTGGGGAGGTGACCCCCTACCCAGCGAAAGATGTTACTACTGCGCCACCAGACCACCTTTAGTATGGAATATAGTAGTGTAGAGAGCGGACAATTAAACGTTCTTTTAAGGGATGTGTTTCAGGAACGGATGTTAAGTTTGATCAACAGCTCTGTAGTGTGCTTCAAAATCCACATTTCATTAATTCCACTTCAGGAGTGTACAGTATCATAATCATCACAGATTTTATAGCAGTTAGGAAAGTGGTACATACATTACGAATTATTTAAAGCTTTAGTTGAAACTAGATGAGCCAATGATGAAATGTTCTTTGTGGAATCGTATGAAGGTAAGAAATCCAATATAAACGAGAAAGGTCTTATCCTTTTCTGTATACGATCATTGGAATAACTGTAAGTTTAAAAGAATGGATAGCACAGAGGTAGGGTATCCATGGTTATCGATCAGGCCTTGTTCCTGTTTAAGCAAACAACAATGTTCCTGAAATGACATCACAAATTGTCACCCAGACCGTATTCCATTTGCGCATGAAAATGTTCAGTATAACTTTGTCACCTCTTGACCAAGTATTTGACAAAATTCACTTCATTTTGGTAACTAAATGTATGTTTCCTTTTTCTTCAGTAACTCCGTACGCTTTAAAGAACGTCCATATTGGCCTTCTCTTCAGACGACTCTTTCTATATCTCGTAAGATCGGAAATGTACTTTTTACATTTACATTTTCGTTGACTATGCTCATTCTAGAATGAACACAGTCAATAAAAATGTCAATATTAATTACGGCATAAAGATTGTGAATACTGGAATTAGATTATCATCGAAGATAAATTTTCGGTCTAATATCTTGTGATCTGAGGTCATTTTTTAAATTTCTTTATTTGTTACCGACATTAATAAAGTAAATGTATACAGTGGATATTAATAGAAAAAATTTCAACACTTTTCTATCGTTTTCTGATTTATAACTATCGCAAAGTCAGCGTAAACTATAATAAAAATATGTTTTGCTGATCAAAGAATTCTGACGATCGGACGGGCACAGGTACACCGACAAAACGTAAATCAGTCAGAAACCTTGGACTATGATACAACTAGCAGGTTTTTTAAAAGTATTTTATAATTCAGCGGGTGTAAATGGTCACGTTATGATAAAGTTCGGTTTGCATGCACATTGCATGCTGCATTTTAAAATTTTGCATTTAAAATCTGTACCTTGAACCAGATAGCTTATTGTTAGGTCACACCCGGATCTTTGAGACATTGAGCTGGAGCACAAACAACGGAAATTTTAATGTTGCTAACAAGAAGAAAATGTCGGTGACTGTTCGGTCCAAAGTTTATCTCCTCCTTCAACAGACTTGTGTTTTCAAGATGGACTTTGTTCTGTCGAACAAGCTTAAATACCGGAGTCCCCACACATTCAGTCAGTTCAGGATCCTATCTCATCACAGAAATGTCTGGTCAGAGCTCAGTCCTTATCGTGCTGGCTGTTCTTTCAGCTACAGCCTCTGCAGCGCTGCCCTTCGTCTGGTCGGACTGTTGTAAGTACATTTTAATATTTACCTGTGTTATGTTGTTAATTGATTTAAATACCTGCTGCTTTGGGAATGTTAATAGACATCCATAACACATCGAAAAATGTAACACCCTCATACACACACGCACACCCTCACCGGCACACACATGTTTCAACCTTCATTAAGTTTGTTCTACCACATGAAATAGACACTTCATCATTCTTAAGTGCACTGTAATTGTTTTTCTATATCTAGTTATAAAATGCTTCATATTGATACAAGGACATTAGGTCAACAAAGTGGTAACGTCGAATTCCGTTTCCCAGATACTGTGATTTATCTGAAATGCACACAATCGCCTCAGTGTGGGTAGTCCAAATTGTTCTTTCTACCTATCCGCGATTATCTTTTTTGTCGGTCGATACCGGCCAACACAAAAACTTTCGGACTAGGATACAGGTAGCACATATCTGTGACGTCACAAGTTCAACGCTGTCAGCAACTTCCAAGTAAAATTAATACAATTTTAATGATGAAATGAGTTCCTACTGACTAACGATGTACTTTCTACGAGTGTGCGGACACACATGCAGATACTATCTAAATGAATCTGTATTTTTAAAAATTCATTATTCTGGTGACTACATATATATATACTTTGTAGATACACTAAAATGCTTTGAATAGGCCTACAACTCGATTAAAGTCAAATACAGAGAAGATATTTAACAGTATTTTTATGTTTTAGCAAACATATTTAATAAAATGGTTAATCACGGATGAATTGAATTATTGATACATCTGTTCATGTTAAAGTGAAATATATGCAAGTATTGTATTCACTGGATTTTTATATATAGATGAGGTAGTGAAATTTTCTTTTTGTCTGTATAACTAACTTGAACGTCAAACTGTTGAATATCGTCTTTAACATTCGAGTTTCCTAGCTTTGGCTCATATTGGTAATATTGTTACGATTTTTTCTTAAAGGTTGGTTACATGACCGGCAAATCACAAGTTAATCACTGTTAGCCGTCTAGATGTTTACTCGTACATGACTGATTTCATTGTTTTTGATTTCGAAAAAAAAACTTTCGATAAAATGTGGCGTAACGAATTATTCAGTCGGAGTTGTGGAATAGGATGTTGATGAAAGTTGACGGATGAACGTTTAGAATTGTTCACACAAGTATACCGAAGAATATTATTATTATATTTATTTCCACGGGAGAACAGTTTGAGATAAGATGATCTTGAAGATCTCTGATGGTACAGTCGTTCCAGTGGCGTTCCATGTGAACATCAGACATACCATAAATACAGTACTCATTAAAACATCAGTTATCTTCTCAATTTACATCCAATCGGAAACTCCATAACATAAGCATTCTGCGATGCATACGATGTATCAAAGTTTTTGAAATAGGATGTTTCTATAACCACCGCTGAGAAGAAATATGACAACATATAACAAAACATCTTTATGGAGGACAATACTGATCAACTCTGTTCAATTTTTCAACGATATCGAGTTTGGATTAAAGTTTTGTTTACATGACATATATTTTTTTAGCCAGCGACAAAGCCCACAATGCACTGGTTGTCCACAGCATCGAGGTTTCTCCGGTGCCTCTCGCCATCCCAGGAGATCTACACCTCACCTTCAATGCTACTGTTCTTAAACCCATCCAGGTCGCTATGATGGACTTCAAATTTGTTAGGAAGACTGCTCTTGGCACTGACGTTCCGATCGCATGTGTGGGAAATGTCGGAAGCTGGTAAGCTCAATTCGGCTAACCTCGGCTAATTCCGGTATTATTCATCGATAAAGATGTAGTTACGTAACCAACCGAGATGTGACGAATGTTCCATTCATTCCTCGTGATACTGCTAACTAATATAATGATGACAACAACGACCAAAATGATAAACGTAGCCTATTTGTATCATTTTGTTCACAATATCTCCAAAAAGGGCATTCAATTACGGTGTTAAACCTTTTAAGAGCTTATTCGCGGTAAATATTTCATATTGTATTTCGCTTTCATCAGATCTCAGATTTCATATTTTATATCAATAGTATCAATTTCTCGTTGATTCCTTCAGCTTAGTACATATACAAACAAAATTAATCTGAAAGTAGGGAGACACTTCATAAGACTATTTTCGGTGTATATCATGAGTAGTCACTCTCTTCAATTTTTTTTATCGATGTGTTTTTAATGTCACTTAAACCTACTTATAAATATTCGAGATTATTCAAACTCGCGTTTGTATCCCTAATTACAAATGTTAGGGGGCATTTTAGCTTGCATTTTAGTCGATCTCAGTGATAGATTTGATCGTTTCCAATCCTACAAAAACTAATCCGCTTCCAACTGTAAAATGTGTGTCGTGTCTATCAATTTCCACGGATTGAGTGCTCCCGGAAACACCGCATAAAAGTTTACAGAAGAAGTACGCTTTTGTAGTTACCGGGCACGTGGTTGCCATAGGAAATAAGATTGGGTACTAGTTGGAATTTTAGTATACATATATCGTATGTGTAAATAACATTATAAGATCAGAAAAATCGATTCCCAGAAATATTGATATACTCGAGAAAATGGTTCAATAAATTAAAGCAATTTAGATATAAAGCAATGTATCTTATACTATTTTTAAAAAAAATCTTATCATATATCATCAAAATGTTATTGAATTAATTTGTGAATATTCCATTGCCAGTAAATGATTAAAAACATCAACGAAATCTCTTCAGACGAACCAGTACAACATATACTGTGCATGTGTTTTTATGTTGATATGTGTTACAGTACTTTTGACGGATGCTCTATCCTAAATGATCTGGGACAAATCGGAAGTCAAAGCACAGCTCAGAACGTGACCTCGCAGGTAAGAAAAATTGTAAGATAGAGGTCTTATCTATAAAAGTAATGCACAATAAAACTGAAGCCATGGACCATTTTATGTTATAATGATCGAGTCCTTCAGCAAGACACTGAAATCCAATTGCAACCATTAACAGGCGACGGATCTCTTGCACGATGTTCAGCGTGGCAGTCACCAGCTTATGGCAAATTTGATACTTGAACTTGGATGACTTATAGCGAGCGCGTTATGGTATTGTGTGTGGTGTGAAACTTTGAAATCAACAAGCTTAAGCTGCCTATACGATCAACTTTAAACGGAAGTGTGGCCGGAACTTCATTACCCACAATACACTTACCACAACACGCAATGCGACCTGTTGAATCAATTAAAAAATACTTTGACCGACAATATATCTTTTTAACTTTTCAGGTAGAAATGAAATCATACTAAAAGTCTTATATAATTCAAAGAAATCTAACAATTTTAACCATTCAATATTAGAGTATGGGTATTCTCCTGTGTATTCTTCTGGAGTGTATTTTTTATGACTTAATATTTGTACGCAACTTCCTTCTGGTTTTCCAGCTTAATTTCTTTAGTGTAAATAGCATCAAAAGGTAACTGTTTTTTTTCATACACACAGATAAGTACTATGTTTAACAACGCCGGTGCCAATATTGCATGCCCAATACAGCCCCAGAGTATCGTCGTCCGAGATTTTGTTTTTCACATCCCTCGCCTGTCCAGTGCTATGGATATTTTTGCCACCGTAAGTAAACCTTCGTTGCTTACATTAACACTTGACAAAGCTTCAAACAGTCAAAAAATATTGAAGAAACGCGAGAAATTTTCAATTCGTTTTCAGATCTTGCATAGTGCCATTTCCTTGTAGTGGGGAAATGTTGATCGTTTGTAATGGTCACTGTCATGTCAGTATTTATCGTAGAGAGGTCATTTTCATTGGTGACATATTTCCACGAGCTGATCAATTGTAAAAAAATTGACAAGAATTTTCAATATTACTTCAACAAACATCCTTTTGAGAAAAAAAAACATACAATTTGAGCCATATGAAAATGAATATTTCAACAGTACACACGATTGCCTTCTTGGTTTGATTTTTAATAAAAATGAATGACCGTTGCAGAAATTTTAATTCAAGTACAAGACAAACAATTTTGCATGGTATATTGTTTGATTGAATTCATTTTTTTTTATCAACAGGGTGACTATAATGTTACGGTACAATTGCGCGAGCCAGCGACTGATGCTCAACTGGGATGTCTGACGTTTGACGCGTCATTGGTCAAACCATCGCCGACATGCTCCGGTTGGTTATGTAGTGGCCGGAGAAAGCGTCATGTAGCTCCTTAATTACAATGACCAGTTCTAAAAAATATATCTGTTTTCAAAAATAAATAATCCATTTGGGATCCTTAAACATGTGTTATAGTATATGTCTATTTTTGAATGTATGATTCTAAGAGGGCGATAATCATGCATTTTGCATGTCTGCAAAATGTTGACACGGGTAGTATGGCAAAGCAGAAAATCTTTGGCGCCAGGCATTGTTTTGAAACAACATGAAAATATAGCTGTAGCTTTGGCTTATTGAATTGTGATAAATGGTGAAATCGGTTCTTTATAACTCACTTCAGTCGGTATAAAATGACACAAAAAGAGTCTTTCCTTTTATCCTGTGACCCAAGTGAGATTTGGAGATTTTTTTGTCTCTATTTCTGAATATTTTTTTTTTTTTTTTTTTTGAGTTTTGAGTGTTTTTTTTTTCTTCTTCCTTATTTTTCTGTATCTTCTTTCATGGAGGTTTCCCTAAGCTCTTTCCGGAATCTGCCAAGAATTAAAACAGTTCCCGATTTTGATAAAATTATGTATGAATGACATCACAAACATTACTTCGACACTCTCTTCCTGATTTTACAAACTGGTCGCAATTAACATCAATTACTTCTGCGGGGGTAGTTTGGGGACATGATCGTTCTCAATATTTCATTTTTATCTCGGTGATATTAAAAAAATATTTGAGATTCGATTTATAAATTTCATATGAATGGAAACTCATGAATCCGTTCAAATCAGTCGTTAAAATTATTAAGATATCCGACGATTGCAAAGAAATGACGTCACTGAACCGACAGAGGTATTAAGACGTCACAATTAGAACCGTAGTTGTAGCCAAGATGACACAAGAAATGACATGGAAAGTGATGTTTACAAAAATAGCAACTCTTGTCATCTTTTATTTGTCTTCATTTTGTATACAAGGCTTGCTGAAGTGAAAATTCAATTCTTAAATATCATGACATAAAACTCGCGGAACACGCTGTATTTCTGTGATGTTTATGCTGGTCGAAAAAGAATACTAAGAAATATGTTTTCGTCAGTATGATCACATTGAGAAATATTCTATTTTATTGATCAATTTACGTTTGCTCTCGTCAACTTACTTTTATGGTCTACTTATGATACTGCCCCAATACTCCAATTGAGAACCTGGAATTCATTGGTCCTGACTTAGATATACATGGTTAGAATCGTTGAAGAAAGTGAAAGCACTTACCCTTCCGGTTTATTTTGTCATTTTCCCCTGGAATTTGTTTTTATTTTGACTCGCTCAGCTCATTAATACTCACGAAGCCTTACTGACTAAAGTACAACAGAATATTTAATCCTTTTCGCAATTACAACAAATATGAAATAAACATTTCTGATATTAAATTCGTTTATTTCGACTCAGATTCAGTGACGGATCTAGGGCTATCGTGTCTAAATCCTGGAAACTTCATACAAATATACAGTATTATACTTCCGTATTACTTAAACATAAATGCCTGTAACTGGAATAGCAGTGCATGACGAGTGGTTGCTCTAATCAGTAAAGGATCAGGATGGTTTTTTTTTGAATTCTGTAGTTGAAGTCCCTATGCAAATGTTCGATCAAAAGTCGAACAAGTAGGTTTTTGTAGGCCGAAGACAAGACCTTGCAATACAGCATGTAATTCTTGTTAAATGTCAACATTGGAATATGTTACATTCTGTTCTTGAGAATTGCTGCAGATGACCCGCTAAACTTTTACACATGACGGACCCGACATCGTCGTATTTTGAAAAATAGAATGATTGAATATACATGTACATTTTGGTTTTCAATGTAATGATATCTATGGCAAAATTGGTTAAAAGAAAAGCAAAACAAATTTGTATACTGGAGCAGCTAGGTCGTTGGAACTTCCGACCTGGTGACAGGGTTGATATAAAATTTATTGCATTCATAAATACATACATGTACATAAAACACAGCAGTATGAATCACATTTGAATCGGAATCAGAAACAAGTTTTACAATTTATATAAATTTGTCTCTGTTTGTAACACATGATTTCTTTAGGACGACATCAAATGGGAAAATGAATGAATTAAATACTTCGTAAATTTGTGGAAAATAGCAAAACAGTAAGTAGAAAGAAGGGATGTGAAATGTATGAAGGAAAAATAATTGAAAAAAATAGGAGGAGAAAGTAGCTTGCGTCATGACATCTAAACGGGAAAAACACGTGCTATTACATTTGTGCATCAGGCTAAAACGATCATTCGAAACTCTTAGAACACATTATATAACTTTGAACACAGGAAAAAATAAGTTGTTATAATCTCTAAGCTTGATATTACCGAAAAACAGAATATCTGTAAAATAGGACGGTTCAGACTACTAAAACAACGGAGGCTCGACGAAAAGGTCAACAATGATATAGTAAGTCGAGTTGTTGGTCTCTTCTTCTAGTTTAACTTTCTACGTAATCGATAAATTTTAATGACATGGGCAATGTATACTGCATTTCATCCTTAACATTGCATGGTAAATCTGACCCATTCCGCTTCCGTTATTGTAAGAAGAAGGGACTCTCTGATCTGGCACATTTCGATATTTTTTCAACTAAATGAGTGACTGATTACTTTTTATAACACCAGGTAAAGAATTCCAGAGTTTAATTTCTGATGGAAAAAAGGAATTCGTTTACGACATGTAAATACAGAGGAAGAAGATCATGAACTATTTTAAGGATCGGGATTTTGTCATGCTTGTGTCTTTTCTTTAAGTTTTAAGATAAAGTCTTGCTCTACCGGTTAATATATTTCCGCCAGCAGTTATTCTTCCTGTCTCTAGCTGAAGATTTTTAACCTATCAGATTGAATTATTGTTTTCCCAAACCATATCTCCTTATTCAAGAATATGCCTAATTAGAGTAAAATAAAAAGTTCAAAGAGAAGAACGATCAAGGGTGACCGTATGTGTACGTAGAACACGTACCTTTGGTGAGATCTTAGTTCTGATATAATAACTATGTTCTCCTCTGATTTCCATTCTAAGTACAACAAAAATTTCGGCATAAAAAATCGATCATGATACGCAAAGAAGACTTGTTTGAAAAAAAAAATCTAGTACATTAATGCATGGCGTTAAGTCTTCAATATATTGCTGTTCCCCTAGAGTATATACCCTGAAATATTTTTAATTGGTTGCATCAGTCAGAAATTATTGTTTTCATTTCATCTTGAAATTATCATTTTTGCTCGCCAAGGCTAGTGGAAAAATTTAAGGCTCCATTTAAAAAAAATCTAATTTATCATAAAATATAATTGTGTTTGCTTTGTCTATTGCAGGATATTTATAGAAGCTCAGATATTGATATGGGATGATCCCAACCCAAGGGGTAAAAAAATGAAACAACCGAACATTTCTTTTTATCTTGTTCTAATCATAACAGATGTAGACATCTTTTTCTTTCTCATCTTCTTCCCATTAAATCTGTAGACGTCCTTCTTTTTGGCGATACATTTTTATCATTTGCAGAAAATGAAGCTGTATTTTTTAGTGTCCAAACTTTCATATTAAAGACTAAACGATTTGAGCATTAGAAAGAGTTACTGCCAACACTACTGTACTCCTTCCATATACGCGAAACTTTTTACTTTCATGAGTTTTTGTATATCTGTATTAACTAATAGTACAGCAGTTTGTAGTACTACATGTATAATTAACAATTTATTAAGATACCCATATGTTACTATGGATGAACTTGCATTCCTTATCATATTGTATTTGTCGATCTCACATAATGTATACATACTATACTACTCATTCTATCCAGTTTCCTTACTTCATTTCCCTCTCCTAAACTCTTTTCACTTTCCCTTTCCCAAATTCGATCAGTCGCTGCCTGCTTGTTACTTCTAAGGAGACAGATTAACATAAGTTTATAACTTCTTTCTGAATCCTTTTTGTATAACATGCTTTGAATGAAATGCCACTGCCAAAATAAAATAAAGTTTAAAACAAAAAAATCGCTAGTTTGCGAACATGAACCTTGCCGCGTGATAGCCAACTTTTAACAATATTTCCCTGAGATTGAGATCAACTTTTTATAAGTCATCGTCAAGGCAGGAATTTATTCCTTTTTTCCTACACCTCTGGGATTGTACATAGGTCTACATGTCTATCTTAATGGCGACCTGACGTCATTTGACATTGTTGCTGTGACGTATACCCCTTGCTCTGACGGGAATCAACGTAGTTCTGTCGGTGGATACACTTGTCGAGCTCTGTCTACTGTCAGAAGAGTAAGCGAAATCTGCAATCCCATTGAAAGTCGTTTTCTGATTTCTCATAATCGACAAAGTCAAATATTCGTTGATGTTGAGAAGTCATAGAAGGACAATGAAGTATATATTATAAGGAAAACGGATTTTTTTTAGACCGGATTCGTATTTGCCCTACAAATTACTTTGATAAATTCACGTCATTTTGGCGCTTGAAAATCAGGTAGAATCTGATCAACTTTCGATGAAATAACGAATCGACCACAACCATTTTCCCGTTTCAAAGACAGGGTTTTGAAATACAAAATGACGGAGATGAGGTACTTTAACTTTAATTTTGATAATTTTAATCAAACCAACTAATTAAATGTTGTTCTGATCACATTGATCAGAATGCAATGTGTTCACTGCTAATGGTAGATCGCTTGAACAAAAATATAAGTGTTCCTTAATACCCTGAAATGTGGGTATAAATGCCCCAAAATTGTGTGAAGTTCTAGACTTGTGCTCCGCGATTTTCAAGGATTCACCTATGTACACCCAGTTTCAAATGACAAGGGGGTGGGGAAAGAGAACCGATATATTGATGTTTACCTGGGGTATAGACGTTAAAAACATGTATATCTTTTCTAAGTCTCTGCCTGGGGTTCGAGAGAGTAACTGCTCCTGTTGTCATTACAGAATACCAAAAATCTGTGTTCCAACAAAAACAAAACGACAATGTGATAGTTTGAAAGTTCCAGAAACATGTGTCCCTCTGCCAATGACAGCAAAAGGAGATTTTGGAACAGTCACGAGTGTTGACAATTCCAATCTGTCAACATCACTAGGGGAAATTAGTCCCCAACCCGATGGTGTTGGTGACTGGCCAGAGCCTGAATTAGACATCGAAGCTCAAGGTGAGGAGGATGTGATACTAAGTGATGAAGATGATGACGGGCAGTACAAAATTGTCATTGACGACACCCTCAGTACCGACAGTGGAACACCAGAACCGCAACATGATGATGTCAAAATAGAAGTAAACCCTAGCTTGGGAGGTACATGTATTGTATGTTATTTACACAAAAATACATGTAATAAAGCTACCATAATCTGTCTTTGTAAACTTTGTTTTTCACAATCTGGTAGGCACCAAATCTGCAAGTGAGAATTTGTTTTGTTTTTATTTTCAAGTGACCTAGTATTTAGATTTCCCTAAGCACATGCATGTCTTGTATTAAGGATTGGTGGAGGCAATAAGGGCACTACACATATGAAGTAGGAGGGTCACATGATCAGTAATGTACATGTGTAAATTGATAATGTGGTTTTATTGAACGACAATGTCTTTGGGCGTACTGGAATCCAAGAAGGGGCTTATTGGTAGATAAATACAATCATATCATTTCATTTTCAGATGACAATCCTTATCAAGTACACCAGTCATTCTCAGCTACACAGACAACGGCCAGCGTCACTGAAGACATGTCCAGTTATGATCATACATCATGTTGTCATAACTTGTCTTCTGTGAAAGACACACAACACATTGCACAAGGTTCAAAGCTGACAAGTTTTCAGAACATGGACATAAAAATTAAACGAAAGCCATCTAATGAATGCAGTGGACAGTTTACATACTCCATGTCCAGTCTGGAGCTTGAGAGCCAGCTAGTAGACCAGGCCATTGATAACCTGCTGACCCTGCCACAGGTGTTCGCAGAGGTGGTGGAGAGCAAGAAAAGTCAAGGTGCAGCAATACAGCTTCAGCAACTAAAACTTGTAGCATTACAGGTAAAAAAAGAAAAGATGATTAATTTACTTAGGGACAGGTGACATCATATGCTATACATTTCCTCCCAGCAGAGGGCAAGGTTTGATCGAGGACTCTAATTCTTCAAATGAGCTGCACAGCTCTCTTAATATTTCTATTGGGGTTGTTTAAGTTTGGCCACTATCAAATAGCACATAACAAGTGTATGACTATAGGTATTCACTTTCCTGCCCAGCTGCTGTATCAATCTTCAACTTTTAAGCAATTTTTCTCAATTACTAAGAGACCTAGAGTCAAGATATTGGGTCAGTAATATGCTTGGGTGAAGAACTTACAACTTTGGTAAAGTGAATCACCTTGATAGACTCTAAGTGTCACAGGAGTCATAATGTGTTACAATGACCTCTTTGAATAAAAAGAACTACATGCAAGAATAAAGGATTATCAAGTTTTTTTCAAATGAATGACATTGACCTACTTTTACTTTTTGCAAGGTGATAGGAGTCTAAGGTCATAAATGCCTGAAAACTGCTTGAATGAGCACTTCTTATAAAATGGTCTGTTCATAAGTTGCTGTACAAGTCCATTGTCTGTCTTGATGTAGTGTTTCACTGATTGTTATACAAATACTCTAAAGTTGTATTTTTCAATGGATGGAATTTTCACAGTTTTATAAAAAATTAAAAGCAAATATTTTTTTCCCACATAAGTCATAAAATGGATCAAATGGTTTCCCCTTCTGATTTTATTTTTAAATGAACAACCATATATTGTTCCTGATTTTATCCATTTATTCTTGTGAGTAATGCATGAGAAGTTTATCTACACATTTATTACAAATCAGCATAAATTTTCTCTTACAGAAAGAATTTGAAGAAGGTGAGACTTATTCTGATTAGTAAGGGTTTCTTAGGTCCTCTGACCCAAAGGGTCAAGATGACCTATAGCCATTTTGTTCTGTCTGTTGTCATGTGCCGTGCATAAACTCTCCATTCAAATGACTTCTTAAAGCCAAAAGGTCAAGGGTGCTGATATTGGCCTTGTAGCATGATGTGATGAAGGGCTACCAATTTTGTGAAAATAAATGACCTTGGCTCTGTTTTCAAAGTCACAGGGGACAAATGTGTTAAAATCTTTAAATGACTTCTTCTCAATAACCAAAAATGATTAGGATGCTGATATTGGGCCTGTAGCATGATATGATGAAGAACTACGAAGTTTGGGAAAATGATTGACCTTGACCTACTTTGAAGGTAACAGGGGACAAATTTGTTTTTTTAAATGACTTCTTCTCAATATCCAATGTAAGGAGACACAGAAGTGAAATAAAAGAACATGCTTTTGATCAGACTGACTTTTTGATCACCTGCTTTCACAAATTGCTGACCTTGTTGAAATAGCATGATTGGCTTTAAGATTGTTTTATTTGATTTTGGTCCAGTTGTTTTGAGTTGTGTTTTCGTGTCCAGTTACAATTTTGTCTTTGTTGATTAAAGTCATGGTATACTCTTTGTGATATACAAGTCTGTCTTATTAATGGTGACATAAGTACTCGGCTTGTGTATCTTTTTGTGATAACGTAAAAACTTTCCATCTGAATTTTATTTTATCAGTTACTGCTTGTATCTTGTAGTGGTCCAACAATACACAATTAAGGAATTTGTTAATATGAGTCTTTTTTGTTAGTGTAAACTAGTGATGCTTGCAATTTTTCTTGACATATTCTTCAAATGAATTTTATACCAGAGAGACCTAAGAACATGTTACGTTTAACATAGGTATTTGGAACTATCCCAATGTATTGGTGTATTTTTGTTTACTTTTCTTTTCTTTGAAAGGGAATTGGGGGAGGGGTGTTTAGGTGGGGTTAAAAAAATTACACCCTTCTATGGTGTATATGAAGTATAGAGGGCTGTTAGTGTTAGCTCACCTGCCAAAAGGTTATTGCCAATTCCTTATCAATGTTTCCCTTAAAAGTAAACTTTAAACTAGGACAAAGGGCTACCATGTTTGTACAAATGTGATTGATATTTTTACCAACTTTAGAATAACTGAGAAATCTAGGTACATTATTTCAGACCATTTTCATGCTGGAATGTAGAGCTAGTTCTGACCTACAAAAATGTACCAAGTTTGGTACAAATTTATGAATTTTGCTATTTACAAGGCCTCAGAGGTCAATTGTATTAAGAGGTTCAAATTTCTTCTTTTCAATGACCCACATGCTCAGTATCACAGTATTTGTGTTACATGTATAGTAGTATTCGAGGGTAATGTGCTTTCCAATTTGCAAAAAAGTAGAACAAGCAGGCAAGCAAAAGCCATTGGGCTTCAAGTTAGTGAATGTTGACCATTTAATCCAAAATCCAGAACAGTACAGAAATTTATATATTCACCCTCGATATCGTAACATACCAAATTGTATTAATTTCTACAACTTGATGAACTGTTGAAGCTTCAGTACATTGCACAACGTATGTAAATTTCTTACTATTCTCAAAGATAAACAAAACCCTCCTGGGTAACCTGTTGTACATTGTATAGAATGTGTAGGCTATCTATACATTACTGTATACATGTTGTACCTTCTCAACACCTATGTATGAAGTTATGAGAATAAAGAACTAAACTGAGAATGTTATAACCATATCAGGTAGAATATGATCAAATACAACTGTAACAAGTTTTCACGTTCCTGCATTTTATAATACAAGAATAAGATATCAGCTTCACATAATATTTTTTTCTACACTGCACTGTTGATAAAGTATTATTGATATATTCAATTCACTTTTTAGCTGAGAAGGAGATGAAAGCCTTGAGGGATGAGATTTCTGGTGTATCTCATGATGTCATTCACACTCATCAGTCGGTCATTGAGAGCACTAAACAATGTGATGCATTGCAGCAAGGTTGGTTCATGGTTCATATTTGTTTACTCATAAATTTGTTCTTGCGTATATATATAAAACACCAGTAGTTGTCGTGGTGGTCACTCTACTCTTTCAGGAGAGGGTGATGAATTTCTTTGTAAATAGTGGAATAGTATACTTTCAATAAATAACATTAATTAATCATCCCTCTCTCTTCTCGAGACATGTGATACTAGTATTCAAATGGAGAAAAAATTTTCTTTCTTTCTTTCTTTCTTCTCTTTCTTTCTTTCTTTCTTTCTTTCCCCTTAAGTATGTCACAATAGTTTGAGAGGAGGGGCTTACATATTATTTTCAATTGGTAGATGCAGTGGTAACACAGGGGTTGGATTCCCTGAACAAACATGAAAAAGTATAGGGTGACATGCCAGATCAGTCATCCTGATGTTATTCCACAACCATTACTTGAGATATTTGGGTACCTAAGCATTTTGTGGTATTTTGGCATTCTTTGGTATTTTGTGGTACTTTTAGCTAATTGTATGATTTGTTCGATACCAGATATAACCAGCTATTTATCAATATGTGAGGACGTACAGCGAACAGTTTTTTACAAACAAGAAGAGTATGACCTTGAGAAAAGGTAAATTTTTATCGTTATCTTGTTTTATATATAAGGATACATTATAATGGGGGGGGAAAAATGCAATATTTCGTTGAATGGTACCGTAGATTGTGTTTATGTAGTAATAAAATGGATTAGCATAACAGTATTTTAGTTTCGTATTCCGCTTCATTATGGGGCGAGGGGGTGCATGTGTGTTATGATGGATTCACCTCATCCATTTGTCCATCTGTCTGTTCGTCATCTGCCCGCCTATTTGTTGTAGACAAACTTTGTCTGGTTTTGCATTTGCTGAGTTTACCACAGATCTCTTATATATTTTGGCAGATTGGCCAGTACAATATGGAAATGTGCCTCATGAAGTGAAGTGCATTTTTTCCCACCATATCAGAGAGTCATCCCCCTTTGATGTAAAAATGGACACAGATTTTGTTTAGCTGTGCATTTGCTCATTTTGCTGTGAGTCTTTTTAGAATTTGGTGGAAATAGCCAGTATAATATGAAGATGTGCTCTCTGAAGTGACCTTTCACTTTTTCCCCAATTTTAGAGAGTTATTCCTCTTTTATTTTAAAAATGAACACAATTTTGTCTGGTAATGCGTTTTGAGAAAATAGCGGTTTCCCATCCCATTGACTTGTAATTTGGTTTACACCTTCATTGAACAGTAACATTTTATACATTAAACAGGTTTTTTACTTTTTATCCAAAATTTTGGTTGCCATTGTGACTGGTAACTGTGAACAGGTTTTAATGGCCATTATTCCTTGGTCATTCTACAGATTTTATTATTTGATTATGGTCAAATGGTATTACTAATTGAAAGCTGTGGTAGAATGCATTAGATGTTTCAGAACAGTAACTATGGCAGCACAATCCTGGCTTGTGATTGGGCAAACTTTAGTTATCATTTGAATTTTGATGAAATTTGGTATATAGGGGTATAAGGGGATGCCAAATGACACTGTATGTGTTTCATTGTCATGACAACCTTGCTAAGGCAAATAGTGGCCTCTAATTGGTTGAAATGTAGATATTTACTTATTTTTACCTAACTTGTACAAAGAGGTATTAGGAAATGCCAAAAATAATTTGTCAACTGTTTTTGACATTTTTAATGGAGTTTTAACCTAATTTGGTATATAGAGGCACTTGCATCTGCAGAAGGTAAAAGTTATCTTGAGGATAATAGTTCTAGTTTCGGCTGTTTTCATTGAAATATTTATCAAGCTATAATATTATCTTAAATCATTGTGTTAATTTTTTTAAAGCAAGATTGAAAGTTACCAACAAAAAATTGCCGCCTATGTACATATGGTAGTTGAGCAAGAAAACCAAAGTGACACAATGATTGAACTTCGAAATCTGACAGAGGACATGGAAATTTTACGCAACAAAAGTAATGTTATTTCTCAAAATCGTATCTGTTAATCTATTTGTATAGTCAATTTTAACAGGTAATTGTCATATCAAATGTTAATAATTGCTGTGTTGATTGGATTATTGTGAACATCTGTTGATATTTTTCTTAGGTGAATTGAACCATATAATGACCTTGTTAGTCTTTTATTTTATAGTATCAGAGACATATATATATGTGTTATATACGTCTCTGATAGTATTGATAAAATTGAAACCATAATGAATCTTAGATAATGTTTCGCATATTCATTGTGCATATTTTATCAATACTTAAGATGCAATATCTATCATTATTATAACTTGCAGTACTCATAAATAACCTCATAAATATTTCCATTGCATTTTTTATGATGCTGGAAATATATGGGGGGAGCATGTAGTCCCTGCTTTGTCCCTCCATCTATTCGTCTGTCCTTTCATGTTTGGAGCATAACTTTTCCCATCAGTTAAGCAAGGATCATGAAACTTGGTGTATAAATTGGTCATACTAAGGGGATATGCAGTGTACCAAATTCAGGGCCCTCAATCCCTCTATTACAGAGTTACTGCTCTATATTAAAATTTTGTGTCCGGAGCATAACTTTGCTTGCATTTAAAGTGTATATACATTGGTAATGCAACACATTAATTTAAGAGTTATTGCTCATTGTTAAAATTTTGTGTCCAGAGCACAACTTTGAATTGCTTGCATTTAAACTAAGATTATGAAACTTTGTAGATACATTGATTATACCAAGACAATGTGAAGTGTACCAAATTCAGAGCCATCGATTCCTGAATTACAGAGTTATTGCCCATTGTTAAAAAACTCTGGTTAGGAGCAAAACTTTGCCAAAGTTAAGTAAGGATCATGAAACTTGGTGTATACATTGATCATGCTAGGACAATGTGCATTGTACCAAGTTCAGTGCCTTTAACCCCTCAATTACAGATTTATTTGCCCTTTGATAAAATTTTGTGTCTAATAAAGTTGTTTCACTGGTACTCTTGTTTCCACAGAAAGAGACAATGAATTGAACAAAGAGGAATTTTTGAAATTAATGGACAGAACATCTGAGAAGCAGGTCACAGATCAATTGATGTGTCTGGATGAAGAAATGGAAACACAAAGGAAGACAGCTGAGGAAAAAACTAAACTGGTATTAATATCTGAACATCCTAGTTTTGGAATTACTTGAAGTCGCAGATCCAGGGAGGGTTCCCAAGCCTCCATTTTTTCTTGGAAATTTTTTTTTTTTTTTTCGACCAACCATCATTAGATGGTGTGCTATTTAAATTGACATTGTCCATTGTCCACTGTCCGTAAATAATTTCCTTATTGCATTTCTGTACTGAATTGATCGTTCTCAAATTTCATTTTTAGGTTTGGTTGGTCCTTAGTTGTGCCTGTGTGATTTTTGAATTGATGAGAAATAACAAAATGGCTGAAAGGTGGCAATCTTTGATTTTGTCAATGAAAGTTTGTTATTTCTATTTCTTGAGAAGTATGAAAAGTGACTTGATTTTAACTGGAGTATTTTAACAGTGCACCAAAACCAAGATGTTCCTTTTGACTCGTATACCTACGGTACTCTTTGTTTTAGCCCACCATCATCAGATGGTGGGGTATTCAAATTGCCCTGCGTCTGGTCCGTGGTCCGTCCGTCCGTAAACAATTCTTGTTACCGCTATTTCTGGGAAAGTACTGGATGAATCTTTCTAAGATTTCATATGCAGTTTCCCCTTGGTCCCTAGTTGTGCATTTTACCTTTTCTGGACTGATTCAAATTCAAGATGGCTGACAGACGGCCATCTTGGATTTTGGAAGTTAAAGATTGTTATCGCTATTTCTTGGAAAGTACTGGATGGATCTTTCTCAAATTTCATATGCAGATTCCCCTTGGTCCCTAATTGTGCATTTCCTTTTTTTGGACTGATCCGAAATCAAGATGGCTGACAGGCAGTCATCTTCGATTTTGAGAGTAAAATCTTGTTACCGCTATTTCTGGGGAAGTACTGGATGGATCCTTCTGATATTTCATAGGTATTGGTTTCCCTTGGTCTCTAGTTGTGCATTGTACTTTTTTTGGGCTGATTTGAAATCAAGTTGGCCCACAGGCAGCCATCTTGGATGTCAACAGTAATACAGCACAAGCAGATTTTCTTCGATATTCTATTACCGTATATTGATTCAAGACCATGTCCATTATCCACCTGTAGCTGACTGCTATCTAATAATACTTTGGGATCTTTTTCAAATGATATTTGCCAGTAGGTGCTTAATAAAAATATCTTGTGCCATCATTGAGTACATTCAATGAAGACCAGTTCATGAACATTTACAACACCTGTAACAAAAAAAAAAAAGAATAAACAAATCTTCAAGAACTGAAAACAGATCCTCAAATGGTGGGCGCCAAGATCCCACTGGGATTTCTTGTTTTCTTACAGATTGAAGATCTACAGGAGAAGCAAAGACTTTTGGAGCAGTCTATTCTTGTTTTGCATGTGAGTAAGAAATAATCTACATAAATATCAATATGTTTGAAAAGTAGTACAAATTGGTTATTGTTGTTTATTAAAAAAAAGCTTGAACAGGCAAATTCTTATTTTTGAGTTTATTATGATAAGTAGTTAAAAACAATTTAGATCTATAGATATAATTGTATATCAACTTTGTGTTTGTTTATTGTGTTTCTTAATTCTGAGAGCATTCCATCTTCACGATTGCATCAAGGAATTTCTTCACACAGGTGTATATATACATTTGGAAATAAAATTTAATATTTTTTTGTACTGCTTAAAAAACAAAGAATGTAGGCAATTGTTATCTGGTATAAGTGTTTGAAGTATACCTTAGATGATTTTGGGAGATGCAGTATAACATTATTTGTAACAGTGAATTTACAAATCTCTTGAATGTTTAAAGCAAAATTAAGATTTCTTAGATAATAATGCGAGAAAGAAACTGTCATATATTTGACTAACTTAATGGCCGCCTCAGTTTTCCACAGAACACTTGCAGAAGAAGTTTGTACTGTCACATAAACATATAAAGGTTCTTTGCACCCTTCCATTTTCATGTACATTTTTTTGTCTTCGCAGAAACGAAACGCCGCACAGCTGACCCGGCTAAGGAGACAAATGAAGGAAGTTCATATTAGGAGACGGCGCTGGAATGACCAGATCTCACAACTTGAAAATGTTGTATGTAACCTCAAACAGCAGCTCCAGAAATAGTGATGTACAAATTACTCACTTTTTTGTTTTGTTGTGTTTTTTTTTTGTTCCGCCATTGCGTATAATGTGATATCCATACCTGTCACATCGCTTCCCATTCCAAATTGTTGTCATCTCTTGAAAATCATTCAACACACTGGAACAAATTCTGGTTTCAATGTGAGGGGTGTATCAAGGTGGGATGAAAAAAATTTATTTTAGTTTTTATCTGATAACAAGCTTTAAACAAGCTTTCTGTGATTGGCTGCACCTTGTTTTGACTATAACTTCTGCGTTACTGTGCCCGTTGTAATTGATATTAATTATAAACACATATTATTTCTAAAACAGTTCTTTGTATTGGTGAACAAAGACAAAAGACTAAATAACATTTCATTTTGTAGTTGTATTGGTGATGTAGTTGTAATGGTGATGTAGTTGTATTGGTGATGTAGCAAATTCCCATACTCCTTTTTTATACCTGTTGGGCAACATGACTATTTGGGAACATTATCTTTTACTGGTTGTGATATACAAACTTTTATTCAATGGACAACATGACTGTTGTAGCTATGTATTGTTTACATCTTTTAACACTGTTTTTTGTCACATTAAATTTGTGTGTATATTTTGAATAACACAGTCTGTGGTGATTTTCTAGACTAAACAATCATCATTATCTAGTCTTTAATTGTTTAGCTTGTAGCTGTTGGAATCATTCTTGAAAATCCAAATATTTCCTTGGAAGATGTTGTGAAAATATTTGAAGCCCACTTTTATCCAGTTGATATGCTTTAGACCAATTGTTAGGCTCATATATTTCATTTGTTCAAATATACATCCATGAGCTACTGTACTGCTTTAACACATACATTCATCATCTACAAATTGTTGAGTATACAACATATTTCAGATATGAAAGTTAAATCCAGGACCCTTGAACTTCAAAAGTGCACATCAATACAAAATGGGAACGGCCTTGGCCTGCTTTCAAAGTAACAGGGGTCAAATATGTTAAAATCTTTAAACAGCTTCTCCTCAATTACCAAAAGGCTCAGGGTGCTGATATTGGGCCTGCAGCATGCTGGGATGAAGGGCTACCAAGTTTGTTAAAATGAATAACCTTGACCCACTTTCTAGGCCACAAGGGTAAAATGTGTTGAAATTTTCAAACGACTTCTTCTCTATTACCAAAAGGTCCAGGGTGCTTTTATTGAGCTAGTAGCATGCCGTGTTGAAGAGCTACCACATTTGTTCACCTTGACCTACTGTCAAGGTCAAAGGGGTCAAATGTGTCGAAATGCATAAGCAACTTCTCAATAACCAAAGAGCCAAGTGTCTTTATATTGGGCCTGTGGCATGCTTTTTCAACAAGCAATATGTCTGGAATAATGACATTTGTGTAGTGCATGTATGAAGGATATGATTTCAGGTTTGAAGAAAATGTCTTTATGAACTAACAATGTCTTCTATGTAAGCTGTAGATTAGCTGAGCAATTTATTTTAGGCCTGATTGGCCTCTTTCATATATAAGTCTTTACAGTCAGATGACCCTTAAGGCTTGTGGAACTCTTGTTATTATTACATAAACTTAAGGAATTATACAATTTATGATTAAAATTACATTTAAATCTATTAAATATTGTCAAGAGTGAATAGATTATGTTTTTACTACGTCATTTAAATAATGGTCTACTAATAAAATCCATTCGATAGTTTCTCAGCACAAGCATTGTGGCTGTATATATATTCAGTGTTATACCTGGTGTGGTGTTCAGTCTGTACATTACATTAGATTTAAAGGACATAAGATTTAAGCCTTCTAATCTTGGTAACACGTTTCCATGTTTGACACCTTTGACAATACATGCAACTAGTTTTCGACCTTAATTGCACATCATAATGATTAAAGACGTTAGCAGACTAGTGACACGTTAATGTCAAAGATATTGCCAGCAAATCTATTTTTAAGATAAGATTAATATTTTGGGAGTTTTGTAATTTTATATATGTATAACAACCAGTAACATGTGAAAGCATTAATATCTAAATCTCCTAATGATTATATTATTATAGCCCAACTATGGCCTACTTACTCTTGAGGAAAGTGGATGATGGAATTAATATCATCCATACTTCAAAATGCTTGAAAATGACTCAAGATTCTTGAAATATAATTTTGCTTTTTATCCATGGATGCATGTGAGAATCATACTTTTTTGGATTATACAGATTCAGTTTTTGTGTGAAAGTTGTGAAAGTTTATCTTAAAATCTGGATATTACTCCAACTTATTTTCAACACGATGCAGTAATTGTGAATTAATCATGTATTTTGTGAGTTTTCACATGTTTTTTAATTTAGGTAAATTTTCAAAAAATGTATTCAAGGCGGCAAAGCAAAACAAATAATTCAAATACTCATCAAAATTTTCATGCCCATTACATAATACTGACTTCACAAGATATCTGATTAAAATTGATATTTAAGTAAATCTCTAAAACCAAAGTGAAAAAATGGAGAAATAGAAAATAAATCATAAAAATCATTATTTACATTCAAATAAACAGAAAAAAACTGTATTTATACAGGGTTTTCCATAAGTGTTGGTCGCCGGCTAATTTGACCGGCTACTTTGATCATTTGGCCGCCTACACCAATCCATAATAATGTTCCTTACGGCAGGCCACTCCTACCTCGTTGTGGCTCGGGTCGGCTGGCTTTGCCAGCCTCCTACTTTCACTACACAGCCTACTACTAACAAAATTATGGAAAACCCTGATTTATATGTATGAAACATGAAATCACACACACATTATAATATGTTTCAATGGATTTATTTAATGTGCCGTAAACATGGTAACAGAATACAAAAGATATTATGAACACATGAAGTTACATAATGTATATGCTACAGAGTAAATGATTACTGATGTTCAGTCCAGTTATACTCTTTAAGAACTTTGAATGTCATATTTATATTTTCACATTTATCTAGTTATCTTGAACATAAAGCTATGTGAATGCTGAAAGATTTGTAACAACTGTAAGAAATAATAAGTGTTAAGAAATTATGTTCTTTTTATGAATTTCTCACATGAAAATCAAAATCAATATAAAGATAGGATTTGTATTTAAAAATTAACTTGCATTTATAATATTAATGCTTATCACATGGTAATGTATCTTGTGGCTTGGCGTCGTGCTGCTGACCCAAGGTTCTTGACTACACCATTACCAGGTGTTACTGGAACAGATCCTAGAAAATACCAAGGTTCCTGACCGCACCATGCTGATAGTTAGGTGTGTTTCTGTGACTGGAATGGTGCATCTGTGAGGTGATTAGGAGCACATGGTGTTCAGACACCTGAAAGAGGCAAACAGGGACACCATTAGTACAAACCACTAACATCTCGACTTTGGAGCACGAGCTGTTAAACATTTAATTGGGCTATTATCCTATTGTAATCTCTTGTTTGTTCATTTTGTATGTTGGAATTTAACATTAATTTGTTTACACTTTCACTAACTAGGAAAGATCAGCATGATAAATATCACACAAACCATTCTCGTCTAGGTGTTTAGGGCACGAGTGTGAGCTATTTTCCTTTTCAAGTTTCATTTTTTTATTTTTCATTTTCACTAATCAGGTTGATCTGCATAATCCAGTACAATATCGTAGTACATCAAAATGATAATTTTGACAATATTTGAGAACATTCAAAATATTGGTGTTTTCTTGTACTTGATATAAAAAAAGAAGAATTTCCTGTTTTGATTTTATGTACAAGTATCAAAAATGACAGTAACATTACTGGAAAGAATGTTGAAGCTATATATTAACCAATTGATCTTATTTGAATTTTCCATGTCATTATTATGGGGCCATTACTAGCATATGTAATCCATTTACATGGGTATGAGTGAAAATTTGTGGTATTGAGTCTACATTTTATAAAGAGGCTATTGTTACTAGGTTTCTGATAATATTTTCATGTTTTTTAAACTGTCAAACATGAGATATGCAAGTAGATGGCTTCATCTGAGTCAATTCGTATTACTATCTTTTAAGGCCATTTTGAAAAATACCAGTTATATATATCAGAGAATTTTCAGAAGGCATGTAAACATTTTTACATTTATCCTAAAATGTTAAGGTTGTGATGCAAGAGGGATATGTGGCGATGATGACATTGAAAATGTGAATAAGTACTGTGACGACAAGGGTTATGCACGCACACAGACAAGTTGTCATAGATCACACATCCTGCTGAAATAAACAGTAGCTGTGGTATTTATCATGGCTATGGTAATTATCGTGGCTGTGGTAATTATCGTGGCTGTGGTATTTATAGTGGCTGTGGTATTTATCGTGGCTGTGATATTTATCATGGCTGTGGTATTTGTCATGGCTGTGGTATTTATCGTGGCAGTGGTGGCTGTGGTATTTATGTGGCTGTGTTATATATCGTGGCTGTGGTATATATCGTGGCTGTGGTATTTATCGTGGCTGTGGTGGCTGTGGTATTTATCGTTGCTGTGGTATTTATCGTGGCTGTGGTATTTATCGTGACTGTGGTATTTATCGTGGCTGTGGTATTTATCATGGCTGTGGTATTTATCGTGGCTGTGGTGGCTGTGGTATTTATGTGGCTGTGTTATATATTGTGGCTGTGGTATATATCGTGGCTGTGGTATTTATCGTGGCTGTGGTGGCCATGGTATTTATCGTTGCTGTGGTATTTATCGTGGCTGTGGCTGTGGTATTTATCGTGGCTGTGGTGGCTGTGGTATTTATCGTGGCTGTGGCTGTGGTATTTATCGTGGCCATTGTTAGGTTGATATTGTTGATACTCCTATTGATGGAACTAAGCATTAACTAGTTGTCATTGTGGCTAATTGTGATCTTAATGAAAAGTCAAAACAGTTTTGAAAATTGACCTATACACATAATGACAATTATACCTCTTACACACACGTCTTATCCAGCTTCTAAATTATTCAATATGGTACAGATAGCAAGAAATCTGTTTTTGTAACGACTGTAAACCCCGAACCTTAAACTAATTACAGATTAATGAGGCCACTTATAGATTCATTATGGTAGTAATATCACTACTGCACAGAAATGTTTTGATATAGCAAATATATATAGGGTCTTTCTTCGATGTGTCATCAAACATGATATTCAGTACACTTATGGGAAAGACGTCAGGCTTTACAATTAGCCTAGAAACACTATTTTCATCTGTCTAACATGTCTATTTTAGTGTTTTTCCATGTTGGCTATTTTGTCATGTTGCCTTTAAGATTTAAATCAGTTCCATTGTCTGTAATATTATTAGTACTTTTAATTATATCTTATAGCTATATTTCAGTTAATTCGGCTCCAATTTTCGTTCTTGGTTGCCTACGAATATATCACTGATACTTTTCTTGCACCACTTACAGTAGCTTGTTGAACGGATCATTTAGACTACATATTTATATAGATATACATGTAGAGGAGAATATATACGATAGAGTAAGTATCAGTCACTGTCATAAAAATATTGGTCATAATACTTGCTTCGTTTCAAGTTCTGACAAGGATAGATTCCCCATTTTGTGTAATGTTCATCTCCTTCAACGAACTGTCTTTTCATAATTTCACACCTCATACATTTACAACTATCCCGCCATTTTTTCCTTGTACTTCTACGTCCTAACTGATCTTTCTCTAATTTCTGTCTCGTTCTTGCACTGTTCACTATATTTTCACGTGATAAAAGTTTATCATTTCCCCCTATAAGAGGTGTACCCTCCTCTTCCTCCTGTAAATTGCTTAAGTTAAATTGATATATACCCGACTGTACAAGATTTTGACTGTCGTCCTCTTTCTCTTTTTCGTCTGTCCGTCGGCTTAGTTTTTTCGTGTGAGCAAATTTCTCGAATCTGTGTTTGGTTGCCGCGGCGACGCCTGCCTTCGTATCCGTTTGTACTGATGTTGCTATGTTTGGAAGTGACTTTGATAACGCAGCATTTAGCTGCGTTTCTCGGTCCCGCTTATCGGGGTCCTGCAATTTGAAATTAACAAAAAATAAATTAAAATCATATATCGTGTTACCAAGAGGAATGAATTATATGTCGCATTTCTCACTTTTTTAAATGTTTTTTTCAGGAAATGTTTTAATGTTTCACACTAGCGGACAAAAATTCCTATTAAAATTACACTTTTATCTACAAAAATATATGATTCATTGATAATTTATGCTATTATGAACCTGTGGCTTCAGCGATCGACAGTGATTGTATATTTGGGATTGAAGGTAACAAAGAGTTATCTCTCTTGCAATGTTAAATACGGTTAACAAAGAAATGATACACCAATTGTTAATGCTAATATTCCGCTACGTCTAGTCATAGAATAATATCGATGTCAACTTTCAAAGGATTGAAGTTGTTATTTAGTTATGTATAACATCTCCCTGTTTTGTTTATCAATAAATGACCACCATAATCATATATATGATATTTCGATTTCTTTAAAAATACGACTTTAAAAATACGAAAATTTATTTAGTCAAAAATGAGTTGGAACAAAGTAGCTACGGTTAGGTACATGAAGGGAATTTTTTCAAAGGAAGATTTGCAAACATTCAAACAGCTGCATTTCCGGTTTTATGTTCAAAATGACGTGAGTTAAGCTTCACTTCTATGAAAAAAACGTAATTCTCACATATCTGATAAAAAAAGAATCGAAAGTTTTTGATATAATTGTGTTGATCATATGAAAAAGAACGACGGGAACCTCACCGTAAATGCCTTCATATCGGAAGGGTTGTGCAATAATACTTAAAAGATTATTACCCATAAATACAAATCCAGATTTAGATATAGTACAGCCCAAATAATTAATTAAGTTGCATCATGCAGCTGTTTTGTCTTTCTAGGCATCTAGCATCGTCTGTCAAGCTAAGGGTCTAATTCTTAAAACTTAGGAGACGGCTGAATGAGATCAAAAATGATAAACATTTTTTAAAAATCAAGATTGGAAGGTGAACTAACCCGTTAATTAAATATTAACTTCGTAATTCTCAGATATCTGATAATTTCTGAAGACATTTCAATTACACGTGGTTATTCTAAACTGTGCTACAATGGTTAAAACGGGGGACTAAAAATCTTCCAGCAGTATTTATCACTTGTTATCTGGAAGATTGTACAACAGACCCATGTTTAAAATTAGATGTAGTAGAGCCAGATAATTTACTACGTCATACAAACAGTTGATAAAATAATCAGTACAATCGACAGAGAAAGCGACAGATGCAGCTGTTAAGGCAACTGGTGGCCAACATAGCGCAACATCGGGATATGAAATATAGGTCGTGGAGAGAGTCCAGGGCGGTGCGAGAAAAACTATTTCAAGGTGTCAGCGAAAATCTGGGATTCGTTTGAAAACAATAGCAAAATACTGACATTTGAACCAAATCAATAATTAGAATTTTGAAAAATCGAAAAAACGAAAACAAAATATGATCCAAAGAAAGATTTACAGAGACAGTTTAAAAGTACAGGAGAATAAGACCGGAAGTTCCGGAAGGGCTGAAAGTAAACATTATTTTTGCTTTTTAACAGAAAGATTTGGAGTACTCTTCTTAGTGTTGTGTTAAAGGCAAGATCAGTGTTTCTGTCTTTACTACATCTCCATTCCATTTTATCGATATCACGACGTTGAAGTAATCTATGTAGTCATACCTCGGAACACCTTTGGGTTGGTAATGTCAGTAGACTAGAGGCTCTTAGTGTAATGTTCATATAACTACACGGTCACCTTAATCATAGCTTGTGTATTTTTTGGTATATATGTTTAGCATCTCGTCACACTGAACTTTAACAAAAATACAAAAATGTAAAGAGTTTATTTGAGTAAGATTACCCGACTTTCGAGCTGTGTTATTGAGTAAAGCATCGAAGTTACTAACTTAATATATATTCAACTTTAGTGTACATAGGATTATAGTACGTGAGCGGAAAAAGTTCCTTACCATCTCGCGCAATACGCTAGTCATTAGTTAGTCCGTGTTGTCATCGATACACCACACTATAACCGTGAACTAGATGAGTTTTAAGAACTTATATTCTATGTTGTCATACTTTATCATTTAAATCCTAGCTAGGATGAGATTGAAGAACAAAAAGTTTTAGCTAAACATGACAAGGTTTCAGAATGTATAGTGGTTGAAATATTATAGTCTGCGATAGATAATATAAACTAAGACATATCCGGCAACCGAAACATATTCGTAGAATAAACATTATGATTCACCTATTGCCTAATCGGAACCATACAACTGCTATAGTTTTTCAAACGCGTCATTTTTCAGTTTGTTCGCAATCTGATATTTACGGCGGAAAAAAGGACACGATGTCAAATTGTCAGAAATCGGCCAAAGAGTGTAGAACATGACACCTAAACCTCGACAGACTTCGAGTCGGTATTTTGATTTTACCTATATGTAAAATTGTCATTTCTTCCATACCTATTCAATTCCAGTTTTAATGCATTGGAAATTCATTGATGACATTAGTTAGATGATTACATAGTTAGTATAGAATGACTCCTTGTATCTACATCTACCACAACCAACTAAAATGTGTTCTAATCTATCACTACAAGCTAGAAAATGTAAAGGTTACATTGTAACACAACAACCAGACATCTAACGCTACCACATTATGGAAAAATTTACATTATACACTAGAATTTACATTTAACACTGCTACTTGATACTGAATAAATGTAAAAATTACACACCACCTGATTTGGGATATAAAATTTACATTTAACACTGCTACTTGATACTGAATAAATGTAAAAATTACACACCACCTGATTTGGGATATAAAATTTACATTTAACACTGCTACATACTGAATAAATGTAAAAATTACACACCACCTGATTTGGGATATAAAATTTACATTTAACACTGCTACTTGATACTGAATAAATGTAAAAATTACACACCACCTGATTTGGGATATAAAATTTACATTTAACACTGCTACTTGATACTGAATAAATGTAAAATTACACACCACCTGATTTGGGATATAAAATTTACATTTAACACTGCTACTTGATACTGAATAAATGTAAAAATTACACACCACCTGATTTGGGATATAAAATTTACATTTAACACTGCTACCGGATACTGAATAAAGATAAAACTATATACAAAAAAAACTTTCAGATACTAAATAAATGAAACATTTACTTGTAACGCTATCAGCTTTGAAATGTAAAACTCGCATCAAACACTATCGGTTACAAAGTTTCTAACCTATCACTACTACAAGCTCAATGTAGTAAAACAGCCACTACCAACTACAAGATGTTAATATACGTATGCATATTTGTACCAATTGACCGCACCGCCATCTGGCAAAGTGTATCAGCACCTATTTCAATAACATGAAAACAAGCATATGTATAATGTATACAGAAATCATACAATATCTTTGCAAGATCATATTGGATGCACGTTTGTTACAAATCGACGTAAGAAGTAAATAAGACAAAAGGAGACGGAATATAAGAAGTTCTTTGAACTGTTTTAATGTAGTCGTAAAACTTATCAGTATTGTGTTATTACCGCCTTACTTGTATATTTGGTTTCTTTGAGCCACTTCCGGTTGTTTTAATGCTAGCGCCTCCTGTTGTTCCATTGGTTGCCGTGGTGATGACACTGGACGTAGATATTGACGGTAGTTTCATACTTTCCATAGTCAGAGAGCGTGCAATACCTACTACTGCATTCTTCCGTGGCCTCTGTTGAAAAGAAGAACAGTTATTGAATTTTAGTAAACATATTTATATTCCTCTCCTAGCACAATCTTAAGTAGCATCTGTTTATCTTTCTGAGTCGTATTCATGAGTGTTGCAGATGCTTTTTAGGTCATTTGACCCGAAGGATCAGGAAGACCAATAGTCATCGAGCTTCGTCAGTCGTCGCGCGTAAACTTTCCATTCAAATGACTTCTTCTCAATAACCAGAAGGCCAGGTATCTGTATATTTGGCCTGAGGCATGCTATTTCAACAAAAATACGTCTGGAGTAATGACATTTGTGTAGTACATGTATGAAGGATATGATTTCAAGAAAATGTCTTATGAAATAACCAATGTCTTCTATTTGAAATGTAGTGTAGTTGAGCAATTTATGTTAGGTCTATTTGGCCTCTTCATATAAAAGTCTTTATAGTCAGAAGACCCTTAAGGCCCATGGACCTCATGTTTTTGTGTATTTAATGATGATATGTTGATCTCGACCTATTGCTGGAGAAAGTATTTTGTTCATCCACCATTGTCATGAGAACATAACAACACCTGGAGAATAACTCTTTCTTCTTCACAACGCCTCCCGTGACACGGTCTCACTTTTGGTCTTTAGATGAGCATTCCTGTGAGGAAGGCTTTGGGTTCTGTCCTTGGCCCGAGACATACCAGAGTTTTCGAAAATAGAAGTCACTATACCCAGTACTGTAATGCCAGCTTCTTTGCAGCACTATATCTCGAGGAAAAAGGCTTACAAGAACATTCAACATATGCACTCACTTCACTTACACCGCGGGATCATCCTTAAATGACCCTTGCTGTTGATAAGACGTTAAGAGTAAATCTTTCGAAAAAAGTCACACCATGAAATTATAGGGTATATATATTAAATTAGTAACTTAGATGCTTTACTCAATAACACAGACCGAAAGTCGGGTAATCTTACTCAAATAAACTCTTTACATTTTTTTATTTTGTGAAATGTAAACATAACAAATATTATACACTCTCTGCTATAAGATACCAGACAAGAAGATAAACATCGGTACGTCATGGTAGGTAATGTAAACATGGCGTGAAGCAAGTTGTATAGCACAAGTCAAGTAGTTGGAGTGATTTCGAGCAATTTAAATCGATTTTGTGTGTTTTTCCTTTTATATATTTAACACCAGTTAATATTATGTACGGAGTGTTATATCTTGTGTGTCATTACTTTGACCTTCCTTTACACACAAAGTTGACACCTGATCGTGCCGTACTTCAACACTAATTAGGATAGATCTGATAGTAGTCAATAGCTCGCTGTAGTCTGGAAGAAATGCAAGATGTTTCTTCTTTTACATGTTATTTACGTGTTTTATTCTGCGTAAAGATTCGGAGGTAAAGGAGAAAAATAGGTTTAGAGTAAAATTCTAAATAAATGAATACCAGAGGAAACAAGAATTGGCACTAACTTAGCAGTTAATTGTTGGAGAAACAACGAATAAATGCCCATGAACCAAAAATCGGGTATAAAATCAGGGTTATGGTCCATAAGACAGTTTGTAAATCAGAAATCAATATGAAAGTCAACCTAGGAATTACCTAAGGAAGCGATGAGCATTCCCACAATGTACTTCATTAAGCCAATGTTACATATTCTCAATGTTTCATACAAGAAAACGCTAAATGTGCAATGATACTGTTTTGAATAGCCGATAATTAAACATCATCACAAAATAAATCTATGTGTGGTTAATGTTTAATTATTTGGTAAATCTTACTATATATTTACTGGCCTGTCACCTACAGCCGCAACAGTCCCCTCAGCTTTATAAAACCATCATACACAACGAAAGATATTCTACATGGTCTTGATAGCCCATCAACAAAATAAGTCATACGGGTAGTAGGGTGGCGGTGTGGTAACGAAAAAGATCTGGAGTTATCAGTCCAACCAGGTAGGTTTTCCTAGTGTACTCCGGTTTTTACCCACAGTAAGACCCTTCGTGCGATTTCCTTCTAGCCAACAGGAGTGATAGATATAAGCTTGTGTACGTAAAGTTACTATTTTTAAAGTTATACAGGGTCACACGGTAGTCTTAATGGGCTGACAATATAATACTGTCATACAGGGTCACACGGTAGTCTTAATGGGCTGACAATATAATACTGTCATACAGGGTCACACGGTAGTCTTAATGACCTGACAATATAATACTGTCATACAGGGTCACACGGTAGTCTTAATTGGCTGACAATATAATACTGTCATACAGGGTCACACGGTAGTTTTAATGGGCTGACAATATAATACTGTCATACAGGGTCACATGGTAGTCTTAATGGGCTGACAATATAATACTGTCATACAGGGTCACATGGTAGTCTTAATGACCTGACAATATAATACTGTCATACAGGGTCACATGGTAGTCTTAATGGGCTGACAATATAATACTGTCATACAGGGTCACACGGTAGTCTTAATGGGCTGACAATGTAATACTGTCATACAGGGTCACATGGTAGTCTTAATGGCCTGACAATATAATACTGTCATACAAGGTCACACGGTAGTCTTAATGGCCTGACAATATAATACTGTCATAGAATAGTGAATCATGCTCGACCTTAAATGCATATACCGTCTTCACTACACATTGGCAAATTAACCGCACATCGGTTAAAAAACAAACGTTAGTAAAGTAAACTGCACATCGTATACAAAACGTCGGTTAGTTATGTCAGTACTCAGTAAATGCCTATATGTAGTTTGAATATCGAATAAACCGAATTTGTGTACAGACGAACGGAAAGCTTGGCAGATCCCTTAATTTCACAAGCGAATGACCTGGATAAAATGTACTAAACTCTGCATATAGACCAGTCGTGATTTGCTTTTATATTAAGACCTATTGATCAAATTCTCTTTTGTTTGGAGCTTTGTATATTCTGTGATTTTTGTGTATCTGCCTACCTAATGCTTCAGTGACCTAATCCGATTCTCTGCTTCATTACTACTAATAATATTTGGAACCTAACCTGAACACTTATTGGTACTGCTTGGTGTTTAAAACATTCATGACCGATAAATCGGGTGTTACCGAGTTGCATTCAAGTCGATAACTAGAGATAGATCACGTACTTATTGTGAAATCACACTCCCTGTAACAGACCTGCTTTTGAATATCGAACCTCACTGTGAAACAGATCAATATCTTTTAGTCTAATAATTTATCCTTCGTTTTGGATTTAACCGTCATGGAAAATTTCTTAACAAAACATTATTACAAGGTATCAGGCGATCATAGATAAAAAGAAATATCCTTCATTTGAACGGGTACCTGGAAAGAGGATATTATTGAAAACTTATAGTGTTAATCCATATCAATGCATTTTAACTCATGTGCCATATTTTTTATCATAAGCATGCTAAAATTATCTGAATATATTGCTTTGAAATGTTCTTTTTATCGAATTCGATCTTATAGCCGACTTGACTCCAAACCAAAGCTATATGATTTGGTAATTTTTCAGCAATGCTACTGATAGGTGTAGTCTTGTATATATTATATTGCTACCCTAACGGTGTTAATACTATATTACAGAAACTCTGTCGAGGAAATGGTGTTATTATATTTAGAGGAGGTGAAGGCTATCCCCAATTCAGATTTTTTTTTTACATCAGTCAAATATCACGCTCGCAGTTTCCATTTCATTGTGCCGACATTGATTACACTCAATATGAATTTTTCATTTAACCTCTCAATTACTATTCTTTTCACACGCTTCATCAATCTCATGGAATGGAACCACGTGCACAACAGGTTGATGAAAATGAGAGAAGTTTCACGGTCGTCTCCATAGTATCATTAGGAAATATCCTATTCTCTTATGCGATATGAAGTTGGACTTGTTTGATGCTCATAAGAATACATGTTGGTTCCGCTGTTGTTTATCGTGTTCGTGTTTGGAAATGTGACATTACTTTCTTGGATTGACAAACATTTACATGGTGAGTGCCGTCGATGCATTATTCCCCGTCTTCATTTCAAGAGTCTTCTGTAAATCTTACTTTTGTTCATATTCTGCCCTAGCTTTATTGATTTCTTGGTATTTTCTTTGTTGTTTTAACTCCATACATCATTTCACAGACAGCCTTCAAAACTCAAAACATAATAGACTCTGAGAAAATGCACTAGAGAATATGACAAAATGTTAAGGTTACGAGCACTCGATATAAAAATAGTACAATTTATGTCTCACTTTGAAAATGAAGGGTTATTACTAGAAATAAGCATCAACATTTTTAAAACCCTGAGTCGTCATAGTTTCATCACTTGGCGAAGTATGCTACTGAAAGGAAACGAGCACATGAATGCCAATCTTTGGAAAGCAGGAATGCTACTTTACAGAAAGAGAAAAAAATCAAAGGAGATATTCAACAATTACGCTTATCATACTGCTGTGTGGAAGCAATCTTTGTTGGTTACATTAAAATGCTAGCCGAAACAGTGTCCTTGAATTAAGATTAATGAGAGTATGCTCCATCGGAGAGGTTAATATTTGCTGTTATCGGAAAGTGATATTGAAATTCGTAGCTAAGACCCTTGCCACACAGCATTAAAATTATTGTATACTTTTTATTTGATTTAGATAGTTGCACAGTTCAGATTATACAAATCTACATAACGTTCTTCTGAGATTAGATATATGAAAATTGCGATGTTGATTAAATTATGGGTCTAGAGCACCTCCCCGTCTAAACTTTTTCTTTTGATCGATATATGTTTGCTCAGTCGCCTCCTTGATGCTAAATTCACATTCTTAGCATCACTGACTAGTCTGAGAAGGACGAAACAGCTGTATGATGTAGCATCGCTGACTAGTCTGAGAAGGACGAAACAGCTGTATGATGTAGCATCGCTGACTAGTCCAAAAAGAACGAAACAGCTGTATGATGCAGTTTAATGAATTAATTGTTTCTGAATTTGTATTGAACTGTGCTATTTGCTTGTGTATAATTTTCGCCATTCCATAAGTAAAATACATAACAGTAACAAAAACTAGCTGAAATTATAACATTTGTCGTAAGCACCTGAAACCAATATAACAAAACACATCCAGTCACCGACTGTCAAGGGGTGATAAAAACCAGATTCTTCAGCGACAAGGCAACTAAAACAGAAGTGCCTGTCAACAAATGAAGTGATTCCTTAGAAAATGCGACACAAAATAAACAAATTTACTACACTAGGTAAACAGATTCTTTAAAAAAATAAAATATAAGATGAATTGTTTCTTCAAAATAGTGTCCAACACCAAACAAATTAATTCTTCAAAATGGTGTCCAACACCAAACAAATTAATTCTTCAAAATGGTGTCCAACACCAAACAAAGTAATTCTTCAAAATAGTGTCCTGCACCATATGAAACAATTCTTCACAAGTGCCCGACACTAAATACATGAACTCATTTTCCATAAAGACGTATTTTACACCGAACAAAGTCCTCTCCTGAAGCACTGTTATTATGTGCGGCATTAATTATATTTTGAAACAATTCTTCACCGGTAAGTGCCCTCTCTGATTATCACAATTAATATTTTCATTTAACGACTCATATATTCCATAATATGAATATTTTTGTTCACCGAACAATGTTGGACAATGACTGACCGTGGATACTGTCCTACTTAAGCAGAATGCGTATTTCATTTACTAAGTGTTCATTCTACAATTACTGATTGAAACGGGAAGCAACTACAAATATGGCTTTTCTTATGCAATTACAACATGAAGATATAAAAAAATGAAAAATGTTCCGTGGCAAATTATTCATCTTCATCTTGTCTCCTTTCATTACTTTATCACTGATGTCCTTGAGAGTTGTTGCATAATGACTTGAAAAATAGCAAATACTCCATGTTTGTGGCATAACACACGCGTCCTTTTATATGTGGTTAGAAGGGATCGAGTAGCAAGCGAAACCGGAAAAAAATTCGTGACTGACATTTTTTGTTAAACATTAATGATGTACATAATATGTAACGGTGCTTTTTAAAGTTTATGAAAAATACATGATGAACACTTTTGGTAAGCAATATTTTCCGGAAAAAAGGAGGAATCGGCTCCTCTAGTGACACCAAGGGTGTCAAAAGTAGAAAGATACTGCAAAATTTGTCTTTTCGTGGGATTCAAATTGCATGGTTTCACGTAAGACTACTATTACTGTGGCACTTAATTTCGTTGTTAAATAATAGTCGCGAAATCCGCTGAAATTTTGAAAAGTTAATGTAATCATGGACACCCTAAGTCAAAAATAGATAAAAATAAATAAATGATTTTAAAGTATGTTACATATACGAAGGTTGATAGGTAGGAAACTGAAGAAATACCCGGTCTACGTATAATTTTGCTTCATTCTCAGGTTTTCTTTTATACAAAATAGTTTGTATTTTAAGCAAATTTAACATCAGTACATGAGCAGTTTAAATAAATCTTAAGAAAAAATTAGTAATTTTAAAAACTATGTAATATTACAAAGAACAATAAGATGAAAATAACTTTATTTTGTTTCGAATGTTGAAAATAAGGAATATAAGCTCGAATGAGGTTATATTTCGACAATGCTCCAAACGAAATATGTTGTAAATCTTTCAAATAACACATCTTACAATGTACAGAGAGGATCTTACGTAAGATGAAAGTTATATAACAAATCTGAGAACGTTATGCTTCCCAGAGCTCTGGTGAGGTAAAACAGAACATTCGTGACAAATCTCACCAATCTGTAATGCAAGATTCTTTTTATTACACGGCTTTGGTGTTTTAAGTTCATTAAAACAGTATTTTATTAGGTGCTTTCTAAACCCGCTTTAAAATATTTATATGAGAGATACAGATACTTTCTGTGATGATGTCACAATGCATATGTTGCCATGAAGATATGACGTTACATTTGAAGCAATGAGAATTTTCAGCCAATCGGAGCTCAACTAGGTGCTTTTACATTTGTGTCATAAGTTATGTAATATATCATGAGCTGTATGATATGTGTTAAGAACGGCTCGCTCAAGAGATCAATTCTTTGATTCCTCTCTTAAATCACGTTAAATCGCGTTCTTTCTTTTCAGATATTGCAGAAAACACACTACCATGTCACATTTGAAGTCCTCCCGGCTTTGTTTCTATTATGACCCATTTTGACGTCACATTATGTTGTATTTGTATGACGTCATTTGATCTAATCCTGAAATTTTCATTGAGACAACACCCTAAAATATTTCATCGGTATGGTCACTGAATAAAATAGCATACAAAATTATATAAGCTTTCTCATATTAATATATTCTTTTTGATTTTAATAAAAATCCATTTTCTATTGCGTTTTGCATATTTCTAACTTGGCTTTCAATAGATTTAACTATGACCTACCTTTGTAGCAGATTTATTGACATTGAAGTCAAGTCGAGGTAAGTTTCGATTTCTTTCACGTAATACCTTCCATCTCTGTACATATGAACCCTTATCCTTGTGTCGCGGCTGTACGAAGGCGACAGGGGAGTTCATGTAGGAAGAATCCGGGGAAGGGACGGTCTGGTGGGTTGTCATGGTATATCGGTGGTACAAAATGTCCTCATATCACTTTCCCTTACATAGTTCCTTCTTCGGAAACACGGAAATCAATAATAAATGATCACAAACTGTGTGAATCACTATAGTCTGTCTGCATATTTGAATAAAAGCACATTTTACATACGAAGGCTTAAATTTCTACGAGACCTTTAACAACCAAGATGACAGCACTCTAAGATCCCAGGTATCGTCCCGGGGCCAGTTTAAAACCGTCTCCAGTCATAACCTACCCTACAGGGCAAAACATTTCCTCTAGGTATTTAAACTGTATATATATATAGCCTCTCCTTAGTATTAGCGCTTCTGTAAACTGTGCTGTCTTTCAGGTTGTTCATTAACAAAAGAGCGTTCTGTAACACTAAAAACCACATATAACCGAACTTAACGCGACACCGTTTGCTTGTGTTTACCGACTAAGGCCGACCTTTAATACCATGTTTCATTCCTGTAATCTGCAGAACAATAGCTGAGTTAGCACGATCAATGTACTGAGAGACTTAAGCTATTTTGAAAGTTACCAAGATCGTAATGAAAAACATTACTGGTTATAACAGACCATATGGATTTAATATAATATGTTTTAGTCATAAGCTTGTAACTGTGTGTGATTATTGAATAGTGCTGTCACACTAACAGTGATCGATATGTGTATTAGATTTTTATCTGACATTTTCAAAGTAAAACAGTATAAAATATAAAGTATAGGAAACATCCATGAGTAACCTGGCACGCTAAAGCGGTATATGTGGATTGACCGCGAGTGTAACACAACACAGGTAGAACTGCCTCATACCGAGCTGGTGTATAGATACACATAATACATAGTGTTAAATGGTCTTATCTTTTCAATATACCTGTCGCTTACGTTTATCATATCTTGATAATCAAAAGCGAAAGTTCGAAAAAAAGCAAGCTGAAAAAATAAGCGCACAAAGGTTTGTTTATATTCTGAAAAACTACATGATCTTATACTGATATTGAATACATGTCAATCACAAACACACAAGCCTTTATAAAATTAGCAGGCACACAATTAACTATATGGGGGTGTTGTGTGAGGTATAATAAATAAAATGACCAAAAACAACGCACGTTATTCAATTCATTATCTGTGAATATTAAGTCATTTTAAAATGAAGGTTCGGTTAAAATGTTAGCATATAAATGCTACAAGTTTATTATAATCCAAAGTTGTTTTATGTCCAATCTGTGGTTGTCGATCAATTATTACATATGTATTACAAATAAATGAACATTTCGCACAAAAGGTTTACAGTGGGTGCTTCGTGCTTTTTCGTATGTCTGTTGTTTCCGTTGTTGTAAACCTTGTTGTCAATCGGGCACTTAACATTACTAATTTGGAATGACCAAGATTTACATGGCGGGTGTCGTGGATGAAGCAGGTGTTCATTATGACTGAACACCTAATATTCTTCTCTTTGTGTTCTTTCACGAGTCCTGTTGACTTGTTGGTATTTAAAAAAAAATTTTTCGAAATGTTGGCAACACCAGTGATAAGTTCAAATGAGATATACAGGGTTCGGTCTGTTGAATATCGTTTTGGTGTGATGAGACACCTGGCCCAAGTAAAAAGTCGATCAGAAGAAGTACGGGGTACCAATACATTGTAACAGAATACTTCATGACAAAACCTATCATATCTAAGATAATCAGTGTTTTTTTCAATTGCAAAGATACTTTAGAATTACAATAGATAAATACAAAATGTACGTTCATATAACAGTGCAGATACAAACGAAGGGGTACAATCTCCAGTAAACAACAACGTAAACAAGTCAACACAAAGATGCAATTTCAAAAGTCCATACAAGAAGACTACAGCGGAGCCAAATAAGATATCAAGACAAAATTACAAATAAGATATCGAGACAAAATGACATTATTAGCCCTTATCGAAGGGTCAGAGGTTAAGAACACCGTAGATGTGGTTAGGAACCACCTGTTTACCATATACCAACTATTCAAAACTAACAGAGATGTCTATCTAGACTTCACTGGTCATGACACGGATAGATATGCCCACTGATACCTTTAAGTCTTTAACTGTGAAAAACGATTTTTAACGATAACGTTCTCTGATTTACAAGAATATAGCAATCCTGTATGTGGTAAGGTAGGTATTACCAACAGCAGACTAATGGGCTCAGTTTGTCCTGTTAGTAAAAATGTGGCATTGCGCCTCGTTTTGAACATCATCTGAAAGGACTGGGCAAAATACACAAGAGCATAACATATCCCTGTACACTTTTATCTCTGTTATCAACCAAATAATGAATAAAAATGCATCATGCAGATATTTCTGTCAGAACTTGTCAGTGATCCTATGGACATACGGTGTTAAAGTCTAGGAAGTGACTTAAAAAATTTAACGAGATAACTCTTGAAATATAGATGCAGGAATGTACTTAACCCATAATTCAATAGTAAGGTTATTTTAAGCATTGAATGCTCAAAAACGGACGACAATTGTGTTAATTTTACGCAATGTCTGCGAATCCTCTTAGAGGGTTCACCCAGCCTTCAATCACAAAGGATTGAAACATTGAAAAGATTGAAGTATCTCATAAAAAAGCACTGTAGGCCAACTTATATTGTTTGCATTTAAACATATTCGAAGTAAACGTGAATTTGGCATCAAATTTGACACCTTCTTTAAAATTGGAAGTTAAAACTTAATGAAAAGTTTTAACGTTTAGTAAATTTATATTTTTAAAACAGAAAAACCGGAAGAGATACCATTGCTATTCAGCGTTCTTTGCGGCGACACTCCAAATCTATATCGATCGTGCTTCATTGCAAGAGCTAACGAGAAATACCTTTGTTTGGGGAAAATATGTTTGTTGACCGAACCAACCGTAATTCGATATATTTTACATAGAATAAACAGTACTATTCAGAACAGACAGATAATGTCTGATTACAGGCCTATTGTTGTACTGGGATCCATAGCGTACCAATAATGACAGCAACGAGGTACAAACAGAGAATAGCGTTCGAACACCGATTATCTGTAACATGAAGATCTCAAATAAAATCTACACTACACTGGTTTTTGCCGATAAGTTCTACCGGAGTGCCATTTACAACGTTATAAAAGTACTTCGATTTTTCATGGTCATGCCGTATATAACGACGAAATATACTCATTAAAAACCTTACTCTCAATTAACACAGGTGTTAGGTTTACAAACTTGTATTAGGTCCTCTGGTCTAGTGTATCACTTCAAGTATTCAGTTAAAGTATACGGGAATGTTGGGTAAAACTTTAATTAAGCGAAAATAAAATTAATATGAATGTAAGGGTAAGTAGACTTAACAGAAGGAAAGCAATAGAAAATTATTAAAACTAAAGTTAAACGTGACTGGTACTCCATCTTGAGCAATTCAATGAAATAATCTTTGGATAAATATTTGTTATTTCATAGGCATCTTTCATCCATCGTTACCAAAATTTGGACATGAATTGGGATAGCTACGACACTTTCATCAGAAACTCCAACCTAGTCGAGAGTGTAACAAAAATCCGTGCGCGAGACCCACTTATGACATATATTATCACAATGACGTAAAGTAATGAAACAGTGAGATACCGAGAAAATACCGATACCATTCTACTGGTCTCCTGCACGAGAAACTTTAGCGTTTTATGTAAACAGGTCAGTTGCACTAGTGACGTCATGTTTGACCTCTAAATAATGCTCTTCAATATAATCACACTAGTCTTCATACGAAGTGTTACTTAAACAACAAAGAAAAAAATATAGATATCAGCAGAACATTACGTCGACGAGGCTAAGGCAAAGTATTAACAAAAATGACGACGAGAATAAGGCCATGGGTTCTAGAACTTCAAGCTTGCTTCTCTCGAAACTTTATGTTGAAAGTTTATCTGCCAGATGTTACTTAGCCAGGGGACAGTGGTGTTATTGATCTCTTGCCTCAAGGTAAGCTGTGTGAATGCAGCAGGTGTCAGACTGTCTCCAAATTCAGCAAAGATAGACACACGATAAATGAAACGTTTAAGTTTAACTCTCGGGTAATTTGTGAGGGCATCATAAGCCGCCGTATGACCGCTGGTGGAGATTCTCGAACTCTGGCACGTGAGCGTTGGCATAATCTTTGGAATACCAAACAGTTGCCGAAACACATTGCAAAGGTTAATAGTCGTGTTGAATTCGTGTGTCCATTTGTAGATTGATCGCCTGTTGACAAAGCTCGGGGCCAACTTCGGAAGAAATTCAAAATTCCATATTCGCATGGCCATTTGGTGTCAATTTGGGAACAGTCTGACGCCTTAACATAAGGAAACCATGATATATACAGATCAGTTGTAATTAATCCTAGTGATAATGGGCGTCTATTGCCGTGGTTTGTCCTCGTATTGTGAGTTCGTAATATAAGATTAACTACAATATATAGGTCGTTTATATTTGAGGCGTATTTAGAAATAGCAAAAGAGGGTCTAAAAAGACTTACACGGAGACTCCTGTATATGTACACGGCAATAAGACCCGGTGTTCCGAAAGAGAAAGCGTCTACTGCTTCATCGACGACACTCACCATATAAATCTAACAAGCATCCGAAAATCCGACGTTCATACTTGCATGTATGACAGGGTCCGTTATATACAGGTTCTGGTTTATAAAATTGTACTAACCATCAACAGCAGAATAGACCTTTATACAGGATTTCCTGCAGCTCGAATCCACTTTATTCATGGTTCGCTGTATACAGGTAAATGATTTATCATGATCAACAGCAATGAAATAAGAGTGTTGTTAGAACATCAACTTGACTTACCCTAAGTAACAGAAGTGACATCCGCCGGAGGTCCTGGTTTTTCCTCTTCGCCATCAGACGAAGTCCATCCTTCTTAGCATCGGCCGTAGTGTACTCTCGAAATATTATCTTCTTAGCCATGTTGACTTCTCTTTACTTCGGCCTAGTTTTCTTT